ATAAATATGGACTTTGCAGCAATTCTCGAATGGGGATCCAATAACTTGGTAGATTTCAATGCAAACAAAACACAAGCATGCTTTTTCTCTAGAAAAGCCGATCTCACTGTGCCCAACATAAGCTTGTCAGGAGTAACCATACCTTTGAAGACATCCATTTCGATGCTTGGTATTACTATCAGCAATAACCTTTCTTGGGAAAATCACGTGAGATCAATTGCTAAAAGTGCATCCCAAAAACTTGGTTTTCTGTTTCGGGCCAGGAGCTATTTCACTTCCAGTCAGTTGCTCATGATCTATGAGGCACAGATCCGACCTGTCCTGGAATACTGTTCCCATATTTGGAGTGCAGCACCCAAAAATACCCTGAAACTGTTGGATTCTGTCCAAAAAAGAGCAATTCGTCTCGTGGGTGATGCCTCGCTCACAAACTCACTCACTTCTCTGGAACACCGTAGAAAAGTTGTCGATCTGGCTCTATTTTATAGATATTTTCATGGAGGATGCTCTTCTGAAATATCAACAATTGTTCCTCCCTTGGCAGTCCCCGCGAGATCAACCCGTCGAGTTGAGACTTCGCACCCCTTCGTGGTCACTTTGGAGACCTGCAGAACATCTCTTGCCAAAGACTCGTTCATCCAACGAACAGCGAGGCTCTGGAACACATTGCCAAGGGAGGTATTTCCCGAGGCATATAACCTCCAGAAATTCAAGAAGAACGCCAATTCCTACCTTATTTCCCTTGGCTCTCACGATGTTCTCTGAACATTACAGGATATCCCTTTTCGTGGGAACCAGAACATAAAAAAAAACGTACGTTTTCCCAGGAAAAATGTATCTTTAATGAGAAAACAGTACATTCTAATTCAAGATAAATGGGACTGTTATTGCTTAATAGTGATCAGAGTCTTAACGATGAAAATACGCTCCAGGTTGTGTTTTATCCTCAAAGCATTTAAAAGCGACACTAACATTTGCTAACATACTAGATTCGCTATTTATTATACTGGAGAATGCAGTTTTCAAGGTCATTGTCATTTATATTTGGCTCGCCTTACACATTCATATAGTTAGGTAGGCAGGCAGGCAGGCAGGCCATTGAATGTTCTCTTGATATAGTTTTGGTGTTTTCAATGTCGAGCTACTATCAAATGTCAATGTCATACTGACATTCAACATTTATTTTTGGAGGAATCCTGTCGAAAAACGTACAGTTCTTATTTTTTTGACATTTCGACTTCGTGTTTGAATATTTTCACACCTTGGTAGGTAACTTATTATATCTAGAAATAATGATATTAACACTTTTAATGATAATTTTGCTTCAATGTAATGATTTTTTATCGTTCCGAATCTTGTTATATTGTTTTGATAGTTGGTTGTGAAATTCACTAGGGGCGTTGCTGTTTTTTTTTACTGCTATTTATACGTAAAGACCACACGTTGTTTGTGCGCACCTCAACATTTTTCATCAAGGTTACTAGCCGTATAAATCTAATTGATTGCAATGCATTCACAATTGACCGTTTCGTTTTTTTGATCTGTTCACGGGTAAAACCCATTTATAAGTCACATAATTTTTAGTATGAATATACTACTTCGCTTATACAGGGTGAGTCATGAGGAACTGTACATACTCCTACCACGAATAGAGGCCCCTAAGGGGAATACCTCAGAAAGTGCCATCTACACTTCTTTTCCAATATACCGGGTGACACAGGTTATCGGGCCACCCCTGTAACTTCTGCATTCGTCAACGGATTTTTCTGAAATTCGGTACAGTTATATAAGCACCTATTTCGGATTTGATCACATTACAATCCAATATGGCGGACTTCCGGTTTTTCTGGAAATGCCAGAAATTTTGTTTTTTCAAATGGAACACTCTGTATATTTTTACATATTCAAGTTCAACAGGTCAAAACAAGTGCAATCTTGATGTCAAATGTCATTCATTCCACAGCCTATCTAGTTGAAAGATTATTTTAACTGCGAGGAAATTCATAAACCAGTTGTTGATTTTTGAATGTATACAATTTGTTACTGCACCGAAAAACAAAAATGATATGTCATTTTGTTCCTTAATGTATGTTCTAGAGAGACGGGTAGGTGGCCCATAAGGGTTCCATTTGAAAAAAAATAATTTTTGATCAAAAAGTGATGTGGCTGAATTGATTCCTGGATAAGTGACACAAAAAATAATTTTTCAGAAAAAATTATGTTCTTCTGTTATGTGTGACTCATTGTGAATAGTCTTGACCACATCTCATTTATCGACGACGTGAAATGAAAAAACAATTTTAATTTAATTTTTTTCGAAAAAATGACATTTGAAATAAAGATTGCACTTGTTTCGACCTGTTGAACTTGAATATGTAAAAATATACAGGGTGTTTCATTTGAAAAAACAAAGTTGCTGGCATTTCCAGTAATACCGGAAGTCCGCCATATTGGATTGTAATGTGATCAAATCTGAAATGATTGCTTATATAACTGTACCGAATTTCAGAAAAATCCGACGACGAAAGCAGAAGTTACAGGGGTGGCCCGATACCCTGTGTCACCCGGTATAGGGTGAATTATGAGATTTGGCAAAAACATCTTTTGGTCATTACTTACAGCTCCTTCGAATCGTCTGATTTGTTCATTGATATTCCGCTACTACTCTCTAATCGACTGACCTATTCATAATCGGGAAAATCCAGGACCGTTCTTGAAAATTTTGAGAGAGATAACGAGAGAAAAACAACTACTTTCCTGGCTATATGCCACGCAGAACAGAAATCTAGTGTTTCCTTGCTGCGCTTATTGGTTCAGGATCGCTGACTACCTGCAGACCGGTTTCGAGCTTTGGCTCTCATCAGTACCAGGGCTGTCCCAGATAGCTTCTTGACCGCTTTCTGGTACGAACACCTGACCCAACGTAAACGCATCTCAGCATTTATACCATACGAGGCGTTCGAAGTCCGCCAAATGAAAACGCGAACGCCACCTGGCAAGGAAAGAAACACTCCAAAACAATATCCCATTTCAGGTGAAATGGGAGTGGCTAGCATATAGCCAGGAAAGTAGTTGTTTTTCTCTCTCTTTGTGACCATTGCATTACACTTTTTCCCTAGTTGGATATACCTGACTGTTTTTGAGTTTGTTACCCTATCGTAAAAGCTGATCGTAAAAGCTGATGCTTTTACGATAGGTTCGAGTTCGAGTGCTCCAAGCTCTTTGTAATGGGAGCGCTGTTGATCAGTTAAAGATCTGCTCGGAGTTACATCGGTGCTACTTGCTTTGCCAATTGGAAAGCTGCTCTGGATTTGAGCCACTAATCCCTCGAGTTGTGACTGAAGTTTCTTGTTTTGGTTTTTTCAGCTATGGCTGAGGGCAATGGAGAGGTGCCGGAAGAACCGATGAGAATGCAAGAGGAGGACGTGGAACGCACCGAAGACTATGCCAAATTGCTGGAGTACGGTTTGGACGAGAAAGTTGCCGGAAAATTAGATGACATCTACAAGGTATACATTTTATTCCACTAGTTTCAGAACGCATCACCTAATATAGGCGAGGTATATTATTATTGTCTGTTCAATGTTCGTTGACCTTGAAAAATGTCAAAGAACATCACTACCAAAACTTGTTTGTCTATAGAACGGCGAAGCTTTGAAATTCTTGCCAATTGAAGTATTTATCGGTCTGTATCTTTTTCCACAGCAATATTTCATCAAGGCAAATTTGGTCCTGTCGCCATATTTTGGTCTAGATAATCCGCCCTTAGCCAATGGACCAATGAATGTATACAAAAAGCTCAAAGTCATTTCCACACAATGTTCATAAAATGAACAACAATGGTAGATTCCGGGAGAAAAACAACTACTTTCCTGGCTAGTGCCTCGCAGAACATTGAATTACATCCTCCCGAAATCTTTGCATCGACTCGTATAAACGAATACTGATACACGTGATTCTTTCCTGAATGTCTATTGATTTCGATTAAGCCAGGCCACGCGTGACAATACAATGTGATTATTATACAGGGTGGGCCACCAGTAACGCCTCGGTCTGTAGAAGGCTAACCACTTATCTTCTTGGAATTCTTCCTCTCTAGGAAGTTGCATGTCAACATAGGCTACCATTTGCAATTATTTTGAAACATACAGGATGTCCCCAAAAATCACAAAACACTGAAGTTGAACTTTTTTCAATCGAACACCCTATATATTATTTCATTTTGAGATTCTCCCTGGTGAGCTGATTTCAACAATCCATCATACTTGGGGTCTAGCAGTTATAATTACTGAGATATAGGGTGTGAGAAATCGAGATTTTCCAAGTTCAAGAATTTTTTGTGTCTAAACCATTCATAATTGATCAAAACGGCTCACATGTCCCTATCTCAACTTTTGATCAACCATCTACTGACATTTAATTGAAACAAATACAGGGTGGTGCAGAATTCAGAATCTTGATCACCCGGTATATGTCCCAATTAAATATCAGTAGATAGTTGATCAAAAGTTGAGATAGGGACATGTAAGCCGTTTTGACCAATTATGAATAGTTTCGACACAAAAAATTCTTGAACTTGGAAAATCTCGATTTTTCACACCCTATATTTCAGTAATTATAACTGCTAGACCCCAAGTATGATGGGTCGTTGAAATCAGCTTATCAGGGAGAATCTCAAAATGAAATAATATATAGGGTGTTCGATAGAAAAAAGTTTAACTTCAGTGTTTTATGGTTTTTGGGGACACCCTGTATGTTTCGAAATAATTTTAAATGGTAGCCTATGTTGACATGCAACTTCCTAGAGAGGAAGAATTCCAAGAAGATAAGTGGTTAGCCTTCTAGAGACCGAGGCGTTACTGGTGGCCCACCCTGTATAATTCCTTAGTATTACATTGAACCTTCTCTCTTCCATGTCGCAGACGGGCAAGTTGGCGCACGTCGACTTGGACGAACGTGCCCTCGATGCCCTCAAAGAGTTCCCCGCCGATGGCGCCCTCAACGTCCTCTGCCAATTCTTGGACTCCAATTTGGAGCACGTGTCGAACAAATCCGCCTACTTGTGCGGCGTGATGAAGACGTACCGGCAAAAGAGCAGGGCGGCCGCAGTCGGGGCAGGCGGGACGGGTGGCGGGGCAGGTGGAGCGGGTGGGGCAGGCGGGGCGGCCGGGCAGGCTGTGGTGCCCGTCAAAGGGCCCGACGAGGAGAAGATCAAGAGGATATTGGACAGGACGGGGTACACGCTCGACGTTACTACAGGTTGGTTTGTTTAGAAAGTGAGGGTTGCTGGGCTGTGTCGTTACCACCGATACAACAAGGCCTGCATGCTCCGTGGGTGACGTCACTTAGTCAGGCCTAACCAGCGGCTCGAAACGACAAGCGCTTATAGCGCTATAAGGCGACCGCGTATTTCGATTTTAGTTTTAGATCATCATTGAGCCGATTTTGCTGGTTTTTGAAGTTACTTGCTCTTATTTTGTCATTGGACACTATATATACTCATGATCTACTTCGATGGCACATTTTTATATAGAAAATTCAACAGGAAATATGATTTTTATGGCGAGTTTTTCATATTTAGTGAACAAGCATTCAAATGTCAATGTCAAATGTCAATAGATTGCTTTCGAATGATATTACACACGCCATTATTTTGAATGATATTCTTCCTTCTTTTCACTAAATATGGATTAATCTCAAGAAAATCATATTTATAGTTGAATTATATATAAATTGTCCAATATGATGAAAAAAGAAGGGAAATTTTTTTCTAAATGCCATCCAGAAGACAGGTGAAAAAGAAGGTGAAATTTGGAACTTTTCAGTCAAATATCTTCATGATAAATATCATGATAAATGCAGTTTTACCTTTTTTGAGTAGAGTGTTTGTAGTTCATGTTGATATGATAGTTGCAATTTGATCATTGGAATGATTTCTGCATTCATTGCCACGAGGCAAATGACCGTTTTCAGAAAGAAATTTGAGAATGAGAATTAAAAATGCCCGTTTATTATGAACATTCAAGAAAATTTCCTCGAATTCAGAGATGATTTTGTTGACTATAATATACAAATACAAAACTAACTGCACAATCAAAGCTTTTCTATTTTTCCTCTACTTATACTTTTTATGAGACAGTAATTGTCTTCTATTATTAATTCATCATTATAAGTTGAGCTCTGTTTACTACTGAACTTAGATGGAGTAAAATCCTCGCGGTGAATTGCATATACCCACATTTTCGATAGCTCCTCGTCCAACGGGAAACTAAAAGCATGAACTTTTGAACCACCCACATAATTCCCCCGACAAAAGGGAACACAACACTTGAAAGGCATTGTTATTTCGCCGATCACAACACAAAATATTTCACAAACCAGTAATTTTTCCGCCAATTATTTTGATGAATAAACAACAAAAGAATTCGGGACCGTTTCAAAAACATACGTGAATCACCGCTGAATTAACACGAACTGACGCGTTAGTCGACAAGCGATAAAATAAAACACTGGCCTCTCTTGGTGACGTCACGAGCTGTTTACGTCAGAGTCTGCTGGCCTTGTTGTATCGGTGGTAACGGCTGTGTGCACGTGTATATATACCAAAGAAGGGAAGAGTTGTATTTCGTGCAATTATAGACCAATTTCTGTTCTCCCGATCTTTTCCAAAATTTTAGAAAAAATTATGAATAACCGTCTAATAAATTATCTTGAAAATAATGGCCTACTGTTTAGTGAACAATATGGATTTCGTGGGTCAAAAGACACAGAGGTACCTGTGATGGATGTTATTTCAGATATTCAGCTACGAATAGATGACAATCATAAATGCGGCATTCTGTCTCTGGATCTGTGTAAGGACTTTAACACTGTAAATCATAATATTTCAATGACTGAATTATCATCAATAGGTGTCGGAGGCAAAATTCATGATTGGTTTCAAAATTATTTGAAGAATTGGAAACAGTATGTTGATGTGAATAATTCTTGTAGTTCCTTGATGAATATTACATGTGGTGTACCGCAAGGGTCAGTTTTGGGGCCAATTTCATTTTTAATTTATATTAACTCAATATCTACTTTAAAATTGAAAGGAAAACTAAAATTATTTGCATATGATACAACAAAAATCTATACTTAAAAAGATTTTAACGATATCAATAATATATTGAAAATGATTTGAAACAAATATCATCTTGACTAACGACCAATAAGTTGACTCTTAATTATAATAAATCTACGTATATGTACATCTCAAAAAGAACAACGGATATATTGAATTATACCCCAATATGTTTCAATAACAAATCCATTGAATATACAAATGTAACAAAATTTTTAGGTCTTTATATTGATGAACAATTATCGTGGTAAAAATGTAGTCCCATTAATTGCTGATATTATGTATAAAATTCGAAATTTCATTCTTGTTAGATACCTAAAGAGTATTTATTTCTGTCTTTTTCATTCAAATTTACAATATCTAATATCTATTTGGGGAAGTACAAATATTTCACGTTTGAAGCCACTCATGAAATTACAAAATAAAACAAAGTGCATTTTCAATTTACCTTTTTTAGAATCAACTGTGAATCTATACAAACCTAAAGACTTGCTGAATCTAGTTTCATTATATCAACTCAAAATTTGTTGTTTTATTCATTTTGTCAGGAAGGAATTGAAAATATCGAATTTGTTGTAGTTGTAGTTAATAAAGAGACCTACAACTTTTGTGATCACACTTTTTTCACATAACCTCGAAATTTATGTGAAAAATTCAAATAATCAAGGTTTTGGTTTTATATTTTTCTGCAAAAAAAATCCTCTCTAAAGGTCAAAGAAAATACGGCGGCCCCCCGCCCGGCTGGGAGGGCCCCACTCCAGGATCGGGCTGCGAAGTTTTCTGCGGCAAAATACCCAAAGACATGTACGAGGACGAGCTGATACCGTTGTTCGAGGAGTGCGGCACCATATGGGACCTGCGCCTGATGATGGACCCGATGACGGGCACGAATAGGGGGTATGCGTTCGTTACGTTCACGAATAGGGACGCTGCCCAGGTGGCCGTGCAAAAGGTAAGTGGGTTTTATTCGTTTTCTGTCGCGCTCTCGTCGGATCGCTTCGTCCTCGGGAAGAGTTTGCCGGTCGCTGAGGATGGATTCTGCGTTGACGAAACACTGTCGCTGCTCGAGTTTGTTCCTTGTTTTTCTTTTGGGAGTGTTTCTGGTCAACTAGGAAAAGGCCAAAATTCACATAGTAGGATGAAATGCTGTCTGTAGGTTAATCGAGGAGGTGGTACATTCATTTTACTTGATTTTTCGGGATTTTCTCTCGTTTCTATAAAATAAAAATATGCGTATATACATATTTTTATTTTATAGAAACGAGAGAGTTCATAAAATGAACGAAAATGGTAGATAACGAGAGAAAAACCAACCAACTAGTGCATTTATCGCCTTTTTGACATACGAGTTCGAAATTTTTCCGTCGACTATAGTTCTTCTGCATTGTAATGAAGGATTAAATGAACGTTAAAGCTATGAAGAAACGTTGTATGAGCGTGAATAAGGATGATAATCTGTCATGCAGAACACGTGTTGAATATGCGAGGAAAACCAATAGAACGGTGGAAGATCTTGAAAAAAAACTCGCGTGTCTCAAAAACCATTTTTTGAAAATGTGGAGAAATATCTCGAATTTTCAAAATGAATTATCAATAGTTTCAAAGCGTTTAAAACCGTTAAAAAACGGAAAAAACACCGCTTTGAAACCTTTTTTGACGCATTGCTGGTTGATTAACTTCATTGTTCAGTAACAGCTATTTGGCAACGCTGAATCCATCCCAAATTTTTTCAGTGATCGAGTGTTTTACTGACGCTTGTCGTCAGTCAAAGGTGTGTTGAACATGTATTTTCGTATTTTTCCTTTGTAGATTTGGTTTGTTTCTTGTAGAGATCGACCTAGATTGAGTTTAAGCACAAGAGCAATAAAAAAACGTTACTCGCGACTTTGGTTAGTTGACAGCGCAGGAAAAGGAGAGAACAAAAATTTTAAAATATGTAACTTTTCAGTGATATCACTTGTATGATTCAACATAGTTCAGGAAGAAAGTGACTATGTCATCTTGATTTTACACATGCTGCTTCAAAAATCAGTTACTATTAAAAAAAAAGTCAGATATCCAAAGTTGTGACAGATTACCTTCAGTAATGTTAATATAATCTTGAAATTGAATCGACACCTGACACTTACATATTTGGTTCATCCAAGGATATTAACTTTTTTGTGTAGTTCCACACATTTTTGAAAAATTCCTTGCCATCACAGGATGAAAATTTAGTTGTAGTTTATGGAATAGATGATCATGGATAATGGATAAATTTAGGCAGAACCTCGATTGTATTTTTATGTATAGTTTCCGTACATGTGTTTGGCTTGGATACTTCTTCGAACAGATCAAAAATTGAATGTTGACAAAATTTACAAAAAAAAAAAAATTCCGATATATCAAATTTCATTCCTCCAACCATCTTCAACACCTCTTGAACGAAATTTTATTGGGTTTCAGCAGATCATCTCAACCATTTAATCAGAATTGATAAATTTCCGAGGTATAATATCAAAGCAAATATAATTCTGCTGAAAAACGATGAGTAATTGACGAATATCATAATTATTGCAAATTGATTCCATTGGTGGTGAACGTATTCATGAACAACTAATATCATGATGACCTTCAAAAGAATGGAAGACGTGAGTCACATAGACAGGAAAAGAAGAGTACATCATATTGAATTCCATCCCATCACAGTGTTCCAGTTCCATCTACCGAGTGTTTCTCAAAAATGGCTCACTCCTATAACTTGTTTGTTTCTATGAATGAAGAAATGAAATTCGGTGTGTCAGTAAAGTACACAAATATGTATTATTTGACGTATTAAATTGTTTTCTGTCAATTTCGGTTTGACCGGAAATGAGCCATATTTTCTTATTTTAAATAGGACACCCATTATATTTTTACTTATTTCTATAGAGCTTAATATTGTGGGTACAATGACACGCCATTTGCCACTTTTTGATATTTATTTCATTTTTCAATTTTCCGTCGAGTATTTATGATACTGGATATTGATTTAGATGATCGATTATGTAGTATTAATGTGTTCGTAACAAAATATCCTTTTCAGATATGGTGATGAGCCACCCTTGTTTCATTTGAAATAATTGAGTAAACATCATAATAACGATTTTGTAAATTTTGAATAAACCTGTGAAACAAATAAAAAAACTTCGTCGAAACTATTTTTCCTAGTCAACATGATTCAAAATCAACTGTTCTAACTCATTCATGGCACTCTAGATTGAAAATTAAAAAATGAATATTTCATTGTACTCTTAATGTTATTCTCTATCGAAATAAGTTAAAATATACCGGGAGTCCCATTGAAAATTAAAAAATATGGGTCATTTTCGGCCAAACCTGAAACGACAGAAAACAATTGAATACGTCAAATCATGCATATTCAAGTACTAAATTGTTCTTATCCGTCATCCGGTTAACCTGGCTCTATACTTACACACCGAATTTCATTTGTTAATCTGTATAAACAAAAAAAGTAATAGAGGTGAGCAACTTTTGAGAAACCCGATGTATAACGACTTGTTTTTCACACAAAAAAAATTCAAATGTTCCAGCTTTGATTATCATCCTGTCGAATCTCATTTTAAACAGATGCAATAATCATTTCCATTGGTTCGTTACTCGATGAAACAAACATTCAGAAACTGAAAATAAAATTGAAATTGGTTGAAGCAGTCGAAAGTTATGATGAATCAAAATTTATCGAACAAATTCCAGTGTTGAGGAGTTTTTTTGTATTATTCATCGAAATTTTTCAATTTTCGAGACAGTTCGGTCGAGATAATACAGGGTGATTCACATAAGAACCGACATAGAGCAGGGGCATGTAGGGGGTCCCAAAATATGGCAATTTAACGCAACTTACCTCTATCCGAAGTTGCTTCCCTAAGGAGTTATAGGCTTTGAAAGTTGAATTTTGAAAAAAATCAATATCTCCGTTATTCTTGAACCCAAAGCAACCAAATTTGGTATACTTCGTGGATGTATTCAGGGCGTTACTTGACAGTAACAAGAGCTTAATTGAAATTTGTAAAGGTGGTATACCAGGTGGCGCATCATTAATATTCAACAGAATTTTGTTCACCCTTGATGGATTTCAAAAATCTTTGCTTTGTTGTGTGGGCAATTCAATTCTAAAACTTCTCTTACTCTAGTAATTTTTCGGAAAACCTCATCATTTTCATCAAAAACTCGAATAACTGAAAACGCGTGCTCTAGCTGTGTTATTCAAAATCATCGAAAATTCAAAAGTTGGCTATGAAGATAAACGTACAACAAGGAAGTAGGTCATTAATTGTGATCAGTAGAGATTGGCTAGAAATTATTATTCAGATACGTAACAAAATACGTAAAGTAAGGACAGATACTGAAATGTGAAAAACTGGGATTAACAACTAACCAAAATAAACACAAAAAACTTGAACAACAACCAGAACAATCAATTTTTTATCGATAAATTACTTAATTTAACAACTTACTTGCTTCATTGTCAAGTTTGACGTTTATTTTCATAGCCAACTTTTGAATTTTCGATGATTTTAAATAATACACCTAGAGCACACGTTTTCAGTTATTCGAGTTTTTGATGAAAATGATGAAGTTTTTCGAGAAATTACTAAACTAAGAAAAGTTTAAGAATGGAATTGCCCAAAAAACAAAGCGAAGATTTTCAAAATCCATCAAGGGTTGACAAAATTCTGTTGAATATTAATGGTGCGCCACCCGGTATACCCCCTTTACAAATTTCAATTGAACTCTAGTTACTGTCAAGTAACGCCCTAAATACCCCCACAAAGTGTATCAAATTTGGTTGCTTCAAGTTCAAGAATAACGGAGATATTGATTTTTAACAAAATTTATAACTTCACTTTCAAAGCCTATAACTCCTTAGGGAAGCAACTTGGTATAGAGGTAAGTTGCGTTGAATTGCCATGTTTTGGGACCCCCCTACATGCCCCTGCTTTATGTCGGTTCTTATGTGAATCACCCTGTATATCATTATTAGTCAGACCCAAAATTGACTTGAGTTCTATGTATCTATGGATCTTTGTTGAGAGCCAAATCTTCATCGTGTTTTTTTTTTGAAAAAAAAAAAATTGAATGGTCTGCTGTAACCCGGCCTGGTACTTGGCCCGAGCATCTCGACATCCGACTGGGCTCGGAAATCAAGGTGGCCGGGCCCCACCGGGCCCCCCCTCATATCTAATTGGCAGATTCTATTGTAGTGAGATGTGTGGCGACTGTTGTCATAGCCCGGCAATCCTTAGTGTGAACTTTTGTTGCAGCGGCTCTGACCACGGAGCGTACACTGATATCAAACGAAACAAAATCTATCTCTCTTCTTCTTCTTATTCTTCTCTTTCTCTCTCTCTCTTTCCCCGTAGTTTTCCTGTGGAGCCCAAGGGTTTGGTCGTGTTCGTAGGAAAATTGGGAAAGGCGGACGCCTCGTTTGGCCTTGAGATTTTCGTGGGGGCATGAATTTTCTCGGGGTAAATTTGGTTTGACGTAATCGTGGAAACATTAGGGATGTGCTGACGTTTTCCACATGTGAAAATCTTATCTGTATCCTTTTGCTGCAATGTCTTTGACAGAGAGACTCGACAACTTTTTCAAAAAATCATTGTATCAAACAACCGACTGTCTTTTTTTACAAAACTATTTGACAAACAGTATATCAGCAACATGTCAATCGAAATCAGGAAAACTTCAACACTACATAATATTATTAGTGAATACGAAATTTTTTTGTTTGCACTCGCAAAATTCACGAAGATAGATAGATAGATAGATAAGCTTTATTGTCTAAAATGAGCACATTTTGTCGACAAAGTCAGTATCTTGCGATACATTGATTGCAAGATTATAAATAAATAAAACAGAACAGGAATATATAAAAATAATACAGAACAAAAATATATAAAATAAAATGAAATAACATAGACAAGTTTCATTATTATTACAAACAACAATTATCTTTAAAATCAATAATATGAATCTCTAATTATTCTCACATATCATAGAAAGACTAGAATTTGTAGGCAAAGTATTCATCCAAACTGTACAAGCCTTTTCCCACTAACATATCTTTGACAGATCTACGGAATTGTTTCAAATCATTGATCATAGTTGTACATTCTGGTAAATGATTGTAAATCTTTTTACTCCTATAAATTAAGGATTGTCTCGTTAAAGATGAACTAGGCAGAGGAAGAGCAAGGTTCCTTTTATTACGCGTAATCTTGTCTATGTTTGCGTTCATGAAATTTCTTCTATATTTGTGAAGCAAACAGACTGTTTCTAAAACGAAAATATCAAAGACCGTCAATATCTTATAGTTGTGAAACATTGGCCAGCACGAGTCACGCGGCTTGAGTTTGAATACAAATCTCAGAGCTCGTTTTTGAAGGACGAAAACACTACTAGGGCGGTATGTTTGGTAAATGTGTACCTGAGCCTTTATACTTTGTTATTTTTATCATACTTTGTTATTTTTATCATACTTTGTTATTTTTATCATCGCTTCGTTATAGGATTGCCATAAGGTAATGTTTGGAGAAATGATCCAGAAGGAATATACAGTGTCACCCACATGGGACCGGAGCACCCGTATTAAATTTTCCGTTTTCAATAGATTAAAAATATTTCTGACGAATTCTGAGAAGCGGTACAATTTTCAACACAAATGTTGGTTATCATTGAGGTTTCTGGTAGACATTGAGTTTCTTTTTTATACAATTCATCCAATGAAAATTTTTCTGTTATCGCATACAGCATACAGTCCATTTGTTTCTTATAAAGTGCAGATATTTTACTGAGTATATGAGAATAAAGCACTATGTTTATGATTTTTTCATTAATTGTCTTCTCAAAGCTCCTCTGAAAGGGTACAATTCTAGATGTTAGAACTCAAAAATAATTTGTCTTATGAATTCGAATGTAAATGCTCCAATCTTAAGTGGGTCACGCTGTATAATCTGTTCTGTTCGAAACGATATAAGTAAAAAGTGTGGTTAGGTCGTATCTTGTTCTTGAAGTTATCAAAGAGTACATATAGGCACGATCTACATTTACATTTTTCAACTTTGAAGGGATTCACAAAATTGCCCCGCCATTGCCGCGCCATATGGCGGTGCTAGGTTGTCCGATAACGATATAAGTAAAAAGTAAGGTTAGGACGTATCTGTATTATGTGCTCATCGCTGTAGCTCTCGAAGAGCACAAAGGCGCAATACCACTTTGTGAAGTGTTTCAATAACAATTATTATGAAACAAAAATAACGATAGGTGGCATGACAGTTGAGGAAATTCATGCTCGTCACGAAAATGAGGCGAATGCGTCTCGATTGGCTGGAACGGTGTAGATTAGATAGAAAACGTTGTGTGTGTCTTTGGCTGGGAAATATTTGGAAATTTAAAGGTTACGCTTTACAGGTCTCCTCTTTGCGCACATGGGCAAAATTGAGACCTCGGACAAAGTGACTCTAAATTCCATTTAGGTAGACAGTTGATATGGTAGTGTTTTATTATGATTGGTTTGTGGGTGTATATATCGTGTGACACGTTTTGAAGTATCAACCCCTATAACTCTTTCATTTCTCACAGTGGAAATTAAAAATCAGCCTCACAGGAGATTGTTTTCACTTGTTGAATCGAAAGAAACATTTTCACTATCTGAAAATATACAGGGAGCAACAAAAAGTGTAGGAACTTTGAATAGAACACCCTATATATTTCTTCAACATTGGAAAATCCTTTCGAAGAGCTTCCCAAGAATATCTCACTCAATATATTCATCTTATATATTCCTCAACGTATGGGCATCCAAAACTAACAGAGTTTGATCGATTCTTGAACGATCGTCGAGAGAAAGTCATCACAAGTATATTAGATATATCGCTAGCTATGACATTTAATTTTCATTGGACGTGATTACTGATAATCAATATTGTAATCACTTTCATGCCCTACTCTCGAAAATTATTCAGAATCGATCAAAGACTGATGGTTTTAAAAGCAAATATATTGAGGAATACAGAAGATGAGTATATTGAGTGGGGTATTTTCGGAAAGCTGTTCAAAAGGGCTTCTCAATTCAAAATTCATAAACCTTTGCTGTTCCCTGTTTATCTTTTCAGATAGTGTAAATGTATCTGTTGATTCGATAAGCGAAAAAATACCCTGTGAGGCTACTTTTTGATTTTTTTTTTCTACTGTTGAGAATGAAAAATAATTAGGGCTGATAACTTTATGACGTGTCACTCGATACATGGATGCGAACTGAATAGAAAGTATTCCACTCGAACAAAATTTCTATAAAGATCAAACCTCGGATTATGTATTTGGATTGTTTTCATCTGTATAATTATGTTCATAAATATATGGTTTTCATTTTTCTGAAATTGTAAATGTTTGAGCAAATACTTTCTCTCAGGAATTCGATCAGTTTGGTATTGTGAAAACTATTCTTACAAAGTTTCGATCTACTCTGGGCGAAATTTAATATCAAAATTTCATACCAATCCCGTCTGTGATTTTTCTAATGTTTATCCGCCAGTGTTTTTTTATAGGTAGTTGAAATTCGTAGATGTCTTCCTTTGTGTGATTTTCATTGTATAAACAAATATTTCGAGACTCACCTACTAATTTCGATTATCTCAAGCAATGATTGGCGACCGATCTTGAAATTGTAACAAAATTGTTCGTTTTGGTAAACCTAAATTATGTTGTTTAGTCCACCATGATTACCTAAATTTATGATTAGATATCGACCGAAATTCTGAAATCCTGGCATTTTCTCGACCCACAGTTGGATAATCACGAAATCAAACCTGGCAAGACATTGAAAATTAACATTAGCGTACCAAACCTACGTCTTTTCGTCGGAAACATACCAAAGTCAAAAGGCAAAGAGGAGATCTTGGAAGAATTTGGCAAATTAACAGGTAAATTTCTACGTTTGCTAACAGAATTCGAGTTCGACTTGTATTTTATAAGTGCGGCGGGATCTGATTTCATACACTTCTAACGGCTCACATTCACGAAAAATTCAGCCACAAACGCCATATTTGCTATCGGAAGGTAATCCTTAGATCACAGAAATTCTCTATCCAGATGAAACTTTTGGTAGTGGCTTGTAAATCATTTCGTAGTTGATTTTGTTATTTTTTATTTGTGCGGTTTGATATCTTTGCTGTCATTTTTCATATATTTATCAGGTTTGCTTTTTTACACCTCATAATGCAATTTCACACTATTTTTGAATTTTCGCTAGCATAAAAAATGTTCTGCTTTCTATAATTATTTCCTGCAAACAAGTTTCCCAAAGGGTATAAATTTCCTATTAGTAGATGCTCTCATTAACTAATGCAGAAATGAAGCTTACAAAATGCTCAATAACAATTTTTGTGGGTGGTAGCGTTTTTTTTTCCATTTCAACTATTGTATCCGATAAGTAAAAATATTGTTGCTTTTTCCTGACTTACACTCCCTGTTCGACTATCTGTTCGTCCTTTTCAATCCATGTTATGTAGGCTTTGTTACTAACTCCTCACTCTGCCCAATGACAAGCACTGTTGATTTTAACGCAACAATGAATTATCCGAAGTGAAGATATTCAAACATGAAGCATAAAAAAGTTTTTGCCACGACACTAAAGAATTGTAGCGCCGTTGAAGTGTGTAAAATCCGTCCTGATCCGAGGTCGCGTAAAATTCGAGAATACTCAGTATACTAGTAGAGTGCCTATTGCGGTGCAGTGCCGGGCTCAGTCCTCTCTCCCCGCCCTAGAAAAAAACCACCCTCTTTCCCCACCTCACCCCTTTGCCCGAGGCATAATTGGCTACCCTTCCACTGTCTTTGCAGCTGAATGATTGTGAGATAAGGAAAGGCAAAAAGATTGGCGTAACCATATCTTATAACAATCACCGGTTATTTGTGGGCTATATACCGAAAAACCGGGATCGAGATGATCTCTTGGAAGAGTTTTCCAAACATGCACGTAAGTTGACATTCCACCCCCTATCGACGACTCCCCCTTTCCCTAAATTGTAGATTTTATTTTTTGTGATGCGATAAATTGATTTGGTAGGGCAGAGAGCTGCTACGTGCACGCGAGGGTGGCAAAGTTCAAGAGAACGCTCATCGATTTCAATGAGATTGTGTTTTTTATTTTCGGAAATAATTATTTGCGAATTACCTTTGGTTTTCTCTATTGAATTGGTTTTCTCTATTGAATTCTCATTGACAGAGGTTGATGCAAGAAATCCTTCGATGATTAGTCATTTTATCGACTGTTTCAGTAACATTTGATATCATTGTATTTTCACCTTGAACATAATTTCGAAACTCATCCCCAACACGTTTTAGTTTTTCATTAATGTATGTAGATGAACCTCTTTCAGGGGTAAGGTGGTGCGGATATCTCTTTCTTTTACCTGTATCAAATTATACAAAAATTACCACTTGATTGATCTCAAGAATTTTCATATTCCGATTTATAAAGGGTGATCGTATACCGGGTGTCCCAAGTTATCGTCACAGGCAATATCTCGCTTATTTGACGAGATAATTGGAAATCGTTGTATTCCAAATTGAATGACACGTAATTATCCAATGACAATATACATTTGGAAATAAAAAAGGAAGGATAGCTGCCATATAACTGTCAAATGTAATACATTTTTTTATTTGTCAGGAAGGTACTTCGATGCCATTCAATGCAGTTTTTGAATTTTTCAATTATCTTGTCAATGCCTGTAACTTGGGACACTTGGTATGTAATATATGCAAACTAATATTACTGTTTGATTACACTCATGTCAACATAAGAAACTCTAATTGGATCACTATCGGAAACAGAAGACGCTAAAAGCCATTCCAGATTCCACCTCGTTTGAAGATTTTTCATATTAGAATTTATAAATTGTGATCGTACTTCAGAAACACGTTTTCATTGCCAACTGCTCAATATGTCAACATGAAAACTCAAAATGGATCAATATCGGAAACACAAGACGCAAAAATAAAAATAAGTCTTTGAAAGTCATTGCAAATTCCACCACGTTTGGAAATTTTTTCATATTAAAATTGAGAGCGATCGTGAATGCATATATGCAAACTTATAGTGAATCATTATCGGAAACACGACGCCATCATAAAAAAAAAACGAGTCGTTGAGAGCCATTCCAGATTCCACCTCGATAGAAATTGTTCATATTAGAATTTATAAAGGGTGATCAATGATCATGCATTCAATATATGCAAACTAATGTTAGACAAACGTTTCCAGTGGTAACTGCTCGATTACAATGATGTTGACATTAAAAACTGGAATTGTATCACTATCGAAAACACATGACGCAAAAATAAAAGAATTAAAGTCGGTTATACTTGGGTTATCTCTATTCCATCGATATGATGAAATTATTATTCTAGGTAATTTTTTTCATTAACAATTTCGAAAGTGTAATAGTGTACACCACTTTACCCCATCGATTTCGAACACCATATCGTTGAAACGACAGCGTATTGCGCCTTGCCATTCGTCCAAACCGAATTGCGACACGCGACTTGCCACTCGTCCCTATTCGTTTTTTTCTCACACATCATCTCTCAAATCTCCCGCACAGCCGGTCTGATGGAGGTGATCATCTATTCGTCGCCCGACGACAAGAAGAAGAACCGCGGTTTCTGTTTCCTAGAATACGAGTCGCACAAGGCCGCCTCTTTGGCGAAAAGGCGGCTGGGGACGGGAAGGATCAAGGTGTGGGGCTGTGACATCATCGTCGATTGGGCGGATCCGCAAGAAGAGCCTGACGCTCAAACCATGTCCAAGGTTAGTTTATTTTGTGGGTGTGGGAGTGTGTGTTGTGTTGTTTTTGTATTGAGCAACAATAATTTTCAAACTCTCATATGCAGCTCACCAGTATCAGGTTTGAATGAAAATAATCCTGGATAAAACAAATTACTAAATCGCTAAATGCACCAATATACTCTGTTTGAAAAATCTTGTGTAATGTAGGTACGAAGAAAGCTTTTGTGTTTTCATAAAAGTAGCTACCATCACACGCTAAACTGTTCATATCTCAAGTTGAGAAGGTGAGAAATACAATAAAAAAAATTTAGCCTTCTGTTTGATTTTCACACTAGTGGAGGTGTTGAATGTGAGGAATATGCTACGATATTGTTCAGTGCTCTCTTAACGATTTGGCATCCTATTCCAGAACCATGGTGTAAAAGTATGTGAGTTCAAAAAAAAAAATGATTCGTCGAGTTGGAGTTATCCCGTATACATTTCTTAGGAATTTTCGAATACAAATGAAATATTTATTTCATCGCTGAAAGTCGACAAAACTGTCTTGGTATAACATTGTGTTCAGTTGACAGATGCGTGATATACTTATAACTCATTGTTGCTGAAATCACCCAATATCTTACTCCATATTGGAGAATGATATTGGAGAACAGGTCTGTTTCTAATCTGATCTTATGGGCGTACTTCAACTTATTGAGCATAAACACCACAAAATAAGCATTTTTCAGAGTATCCTGCATGCCTGAATGCCATGGACGTGTCAATAATAATTATCAAACTTTCTTATACAAGTCACTAGAATCGGGCAGTGCATGATCATGTTTGAATAAAAAACTCTATCTACTGCGGAATCGCTAAATGCACCAAGAGACTGCCGAAAAAAACTTGTTTACTGAACGTACGAAGGAAGCTTTTGTGTTTCCATAAAAGTAACTAATATCACACAAAAATTATCTGTCTCAAGAGTTCATATATCATTTTCTGTTTCATTTTTGCACAGGTGAAGGTGCTGTACGTGAGGAATTTGACGCAAGACATAACCGAGGAGAAGCTGAAAGAGGTGTTTGAGTTGCACGGCAAAGTGGAGAGGGTCAAAAAGATCAAGGATTACGCTTTCGTTCACTTCGAGGACAGAGACAACGCCGTCAAGGTGAATTGATGCGTTTTGAGAGATTTTTCATGATTTAAACTGGAGTGGAATCGAGGTATATATTGTTTTCTTTCCGCCAGGCGATGGAAGAATTAGACTCTAAAGAAATGGGTGGATCCCATATTGAAGTGTCGCTTGCCAAGCCACCATCTGACAAGAAAAAGAAAGAAGAAATTTTGAGAGCCAGAGAAAGACGAATGATGCAAATGATGCAAGTTAGAGGAGGGTATGTAATTTTTTTACTTATATTCGAATCGGTTTCTTGACACTAATAATTCAATCAATCTATCAAAAAATCACCAAGTTTGGTTTGTAATTCAATTTTTTTTTTATATTTGAAACAATGTTTTCTCTTGCAATGTCAAGTGTACTTGAAAGTAACTTAACGTGAAGATGATGTGAAGATAATCAATAATTTATTTTTAATTGACTGTCGTCACTTGATAGAAAACTTCACAAACACTAATATCTCAATTCTGAATTCGAAACATCAAGAGTATATCAACTGAACTGTGAATCTTATCTTAAGGTTTATGTTGGTCAGACATATAGAACATTTAACTACCGATTTCACGAACATAAAATGAGTTTTTCACAAAAATAAATCAAATCCATCCGATTTTTCGTCGCTAACTGCGAACGTGTCTTTTGAATTGACAGAATGATGCCTGGAACGATGCCGATGCGAGGCCCCCCCGGCCAAGGTGGGGGCCCCCGAACGGGGGGATCGATGCGCGGTGGGCCGATGGGTAGGGGTGATTACGGTAAGACACGCCTACTTCACGCTAATCTCGGTGAACCTTTCGCGAAACGACGGTCTCTTTAGTCTGCTTGTCGGTCAAGTAACTATTCCACTCGAGAGTATGCTAAAATCGAGAGAAAGTTTATTTTTCTCGGTCCACATACCGTTTTTTTTTTTCGAATTGTGGGCGATGGTGCTGTAGTTTTTCGGTATACATTGTCACTATCAGAAAGATGGATTTTTTTTCAGTCGGTATCAAACGATATATTGAACATCTTGAATAACACTGGCAGAAGCGTCAGACTTGATGATAACTCTTACTTAATAAAAGTTTCGTGATTTATGATAAAACTTGAAATTTCACAAAAAAAATCAATTGAATTAGAAATAAATGTACAATACTAATTCAGTCCAGTGACATTGTTTTCAGGAATGTATCGCATCATCGTTCATTCCGTTTTCGAATAACTTCTCATATAGATAACAATTATGAATTAACTACAATAACACAACTTTTTCTAGCACTAACAAGGCTCTTGATTGTATGTGTCATTCGCTTTTTCATTGTTTGTTTTCTTTTCTGTTCGGACCGAGGAAGTTTTCACTGCAAGACGACGAAGAACTTCGAAAATTTTTTTCTGTTTTAATTTTTTTTATCGTTCAAAGTTACGAACGAATTACGAATTTTATTACAGGTGTGACAGTATTTGATAATTGTAGTGCCTATAGTGAGATAATTTAAGACGTGGTAGACAATTATTATTCCATAGTTGGTTAACGGATGCATGTTTCTTTGTTCAGTCAAGATTTTAGTCAAACAAACAAATTCTGTGCAGTTAAAATACATTTGCTACTGGAAATTTGAATGAATTTTTGAAATTCAAACATCATACAATGTGCCCAAAGAGCGCTACAAATAGTATTGGCCATTGTCCACATCATTTAGGTTCAAATTTGTTTGTGTATTTTTAATACTCGGCAATCGAAAAGTTGGATGTCAAGTCTAAATCTGTTGACGATCTTCAAAATATGATTGTGGCAATATGAAAATATGCTACAATAATAAAATCAATGCTTTATTCGAAATTTGGCATCCTATTCCATAATCATAATGTATATTCAGAAAATAATTCGTCATCGAGTTGAAGTTATCCCTTATAAAATTCTTGGGAATTTTCGAATACAAATGAAATAATTATTTCATCGCCGAACGTCAACAAAATTGTCTAGGAATCATTCAAATTCGTACAAAACGTGTCTATTTCCGAATGAATTTGGTACGGCATCGTACCCAGTTGACAGAGGCGTGATATTGTACTTCAACTTATTCTTCAGAGTATCCTGCATTGATTTCTGCACAAGGATAAATTGTCATTTCACGTTTCTGTCATCTGAACGTCCTCCGTTTGTTTATAAAAAAAAATCCAGTCGAGCGTGTAGATTAGAGGGCCGTGGGGAACACGCCGCAGCAAGGCAAAAGGGCATTCGTAAAAGCATTGCACGCGCCTCCGAATCTAACCATGCATGCGTAACTTTGTCTATTTTTCCTATTCACAATTTTTTGTGTGTTTGTGTCGTTGGAAATAACTTTTCGCTTGCAGCGAGGAGCACAGGGTAAGTACATGCTGTGGTGTAGGGTACTATTGTCTCGATCAGAGTTTCGAATTTGTTCAGTTCGGTCGATCAATGGGGTTTGTAGAACAGTTTGTACCTGTATGAAAATCTTGATATTTCTACGTTATGTTCTTGATTTTTTACACTAAAAAGATGAAGCATTCTTATTTGAGCAATGAAGCCAGAAATTCTATTCAGTAGGTGGAGGTATCTATGAGCGACAAGGTGAACTACTTTTAATTAAGTAGCGAAGGGTAGAGATCGGTAATGCTGAATATATTCAAACTTTATTTTCAGATGTTTTTATGCAAGAAGGAATTCGCATCAGGTCCGGATTAAAATATTTATATTATTCAAAAGAGAATATCAAAGGAAGTGATTTTTCTGCTTCAGAAAGACGGATATTCCTAAGTAGTTCAACAGCTTGCAGATAGAGTATAGACAAATCGCCTATATTTTGCTGAGTTTCGCTGGCGCTGCCTACGAACCAGCCAAAGAACTAATGCTAAATTTGTCAACATTTTACATGGTGATGGATCATCTTGTTAGTGTAAATAATCAAGGGTTATGTTCAACTTGCTCACAAACAAGGGTTTTTTGATGAGTAGCGGTTTTTGAGAAGGTCGACCAAATTTGTGACGTTTTTGTGATCATTTTCTTATTGCTCTGGATACATTTTCGACATGAACTGATTGATCTGCCGTTCTGAATGACCTATTCTGTAAAAATTAGTTGTTTGGAGGTAATGAGCCTCGAGTAAGAAATGTGTATATTGTAGTTAGGTTTATCCGAATGAACATATAAGTGTATGTGGTAAGAAAGCTAAAAGATTCCTGCGTGAATCGTTACTTGACTCTTTTCCCGGCATGCTAATATTGTAGACGAAAAAGTAATCCTCACTCTCCATCAAGAAATATATATATCAGATTCGATGTATATATATGCATATGAATAGTTTAGTTGGCTAAATTGGGTACCTTATAATATCTTTTTATAGATTACGATTACGACTATTACGGTTACGGGGACTATAGAGGCGGCTACAGCGATCCCTATTACGATGACTTTTACCGGTACGAAGATTACTATTATGATTATCAGCCGGCCCCGACATCAGCGAGAGGAAGGGGGGGTCGGCAAGCAGCACCGGTATGGGACAAATCCAAATTTTTTCACATCCTTATTTTAAAGAACAAAAAATAAACGTTTACCGAATGATGCGAGAGCCGCCACTCACCCTACAACTTTTTCGCAGTTTGGACGGTAACACGATTAGAAAAAATGCGGGATATCAAGACAGAAATGATCTTTTTGACACTTGACACTTTTGCCGGGATATATCGACTGATACTGTTCAGAGTAACTGAGTTACAGTAGTAACATAGTATGAACGCTGATTTTTTTGATAAAATATGCTGTAATACTTCGAAAAACACCATTTGCATACTCTATAATTTCATGAAATGTTAAAATAGAGCATTCGGCGGCAAACTCGTCTATCCTATAATGACGTCACAATCCCTTTTCATGCATTGCCATATTTTTCATTTTGGGGAAATATCGAGTGAATATTTCTTCATTGATGTCGTAAATGTCGCCAATATAGGTTCTACCCCAATGGCCAATTCAACAAGTGTATAGCTGACATGATTATAAATTGAGTGAATTCAACCAGCAGCGAACGAACCTCAAATTCTGGTGACATTACTCTAATATTTATATCATAATATGACACAATCCATTGCATAAGAAAAAAAGAACAAGATAGTAAACTGTCTTTACCCATGACATTGTTGAAATCAGTTAAATCTTGGGAGCGATGAATGTTAAAATATTCAAACAACCTGAAGAATCGGTTGAGATATCAACCCTTTTATCTCACTGTATAGTGAATTATCGATTTTTCTCGACTACCAATAGATGGTCGGCGCGTAATAGTACCTGTGACGTCATTACCGCTGACGATTTTCCGTCGTGTTCTAACGAGAGCGTATCTCTGAATATTTATTTCGGAAATTTCGACAGAAATGTTAATGTATCAGGTTAGGACGTGCAATTTCAAAGGTTATTTTCGAAACTGCTAAAAAGGATGGGGTCGGAGGGGATGGGCAAATTGTTCTCGTGTCACCCGGTGTAGTCACGTGATTGTTTTCGATAAGGGGGACAGCTTTGACATAACGGATTGCGTACGCATTATCTAGACCCTTTGAAGTACAATTGTTGCGAGAAACGACAAGAAATGCGATCTAGTTTGACTCAACGGGATGGGAATGTGGACAATTTATCGGCTATGTTGGATTTTTCACCTCTATCGTAACAAACTCGGACTATTATCAATTTTTTTCATCATGTGATATACTTTTCATGAGCATACCCTTGTGTATCGGTAATCGGGAAATGGGTGATCATTGAATTTTGGTGAATTTGTCGTAGTTGAATTACTTTTCTCATTGAAATTTTGACTCAACATTATAGAGAATAGACAATAAGCAATAACAAAATAACGCCAACAGTCAAAATAGGGGATCTGTAGTTATTAGCTGCAATTGATCTTGTTTCTCATTCCCGACATACAGGGGTGTGTGCGAAAATCGTATTCACAATATTTTCATTTTTGTTACTCTAATGCGGTAGTTTGATTGTGGCACAGTGTCTGCCTGACTAATCGAGCAGCAGCTAACCCAAACTCACTCTCTAACACCACCTAACAAACCCTAACCAGGCCCAGCAGCCTTTGCTTGCACGCGACTTTTCATAGTTGTACCCACTAATCGTACACTTGCCACATTCAAAAATACCATCATATCTGAGCCAACTTGACAAAGAAACAAACGAGCGTAGCCGGGAAAAGTGACATGCGCGCCAAAAAAACATTTTATTAGGAGGGGGGGTAAGGGAGAGAACGAGATAAAGCTTCAAGGTCAGCCGCTGGCAGTGGTGGCTGGCTCAGATATGATGTGCTCTTAGTTGCAGGGTTATCCAAAAGCGATATGGGGCGGGGGATCAGAAAAGAAAAAAGCTGCCACGCCGTACACTAACCTTATTTTTTGTGTGGAAAATGGACTCGTGCGCGACCGATCGCTTATTTTTCACTAGGGATCGCACTCTATTCGATGAAAACAAATTTGAGGGGGACAGAGCTGTAGTTCGTTTGTTCAAAGCCATTTGTCCTTGAAAATCACTTACATTGAGGGATATAGATACCGAAATTTCAAAAACCGTCAATGGCTGTGCTTTTGCCAAATATTTACCAGTCAAATATAAATTCTAGGAGATAAGTAGCCATAGTAACTAAACGAAAAGAGTTGAAGATCTATATTTTTCGTTTTCATTCTATTTGAGATTTAGGCCATACGAACTTTAATAGACCTACTCTGGCACATTATGTGAATGAAGAAGAAGAGTTTGTTAGGCAGGACAGAGGATCTTTCTACTGAAATTTGCTAAAGCAATTCTTCATAATGACTAAATAGGGCAGTCATTTCGTAATTTCCTGATTTGAATACAACATTCCTTAAAGCCCTTCAATAAATCCACATATATTCGAAATTCTGAAAAATTAGGTTAGGAATTCATAGGTACCTATCTGAGATGTTTATTCATTTGGAGTAGTTGCCATGGTTACATTATGATGAAAAAATGGCGACACTTTGACGGTTCTCTGTATCTAAAAACTATGAGATAATCGTTTTCAACTGAGTTTCATGAGAAAAGGAATCTCAATTGAATTCTTATGTTGAATTCATATTTTTTGTCTCATAAGACATCGTTAGTCAGTGATAATTATAACCTAACATGACCCGCCATTTCGACTGTTGAATATCTGGATTATATATCAAGTGCATCTACAAGTATTTCTTGATCTTTAAAATTATTTCATCCTTACGTGCTGGTCATTCCGGTACAATATAATAACTGTTACTATCATCATTATTGTTATTATCAAGTAGGATGGCACCGCTACATAGGTACTAATTTGAGATTATTCAGTCCAATAAAGACATTAGCAATCATAGTGTCAACGCACTTTTGGAAGTCGTCCGAGTCCATTGAATTGCATTCATTGTTATTGTTTTCTTTATTATTTGCCTAATAATGCAAAGTGTCTAAAGGATCTGCCAGCTTGTGTGTTTGTCCTTGTTGTGTGTCACAGCCGAACTATGAGGATGGGTCGTTATCGAGGAGAGCATCCTACTTTACGCTTATTTGCTTACTTAGTGCTTTTTTGAGCTTTGCTTTTGCTTTTCGCTTAAGTTATATTGTGTTTTACAGCCGAAAGCTTCGTCTACACCACCATGTTGAAATTTTTTGGATAACCCTTGTTCTAGAGCTTCCGCATTTTTTAGACTTAAGGATTGGTAGCTGGACGAGATCAACCTTTGAAGCATATTCAGCATACTCTGGTTTATTCAGAAATCCATTAAATGCTTCAGATATTCGCCTATAGTAACTGAATGAATAGCAAACTATGTATACTGTGTTGATACATTTCTACAATCGTTATACTCGTCATCATTTGTTTCTATGGTTGATCTCTCTAGGTAATGTCTGTCGCACATTAAAAAACATTGAAATGAGACAAATTACATTAGAAAATTTGCATTAAGTTGTCTTAGAGGGCCAAGGGTTGCGACCCCTAAAGATATGGCACCTACTTATTCGAAATTGACATTTAGGAACTGGATGAAGGAGTCACTTCGGGTGTTTACTACGAAGTTGGCAGTGGAACACAGGTTTGTTGTCCTTTCTACCAAAATCGATGTTGACTACATGAAAGTATGTTCCTTTTTCCCAGAATATCCCAGGTAACCTTGAAGAATTTGACGAACTTCATAGTACTTTCTTCCTATGTCTGTGTGATAACCAGATAATCTGAAATAACTCCGAGGGTGAATGATTTCAATAATGTTTGGACTGGCATTATTCACGCTTTCTCGTTGTCAATGCTTCTTTCCAGTTTTTAACCCAACTAATGTCGTTGTTATTGATAAAAACCTTGTAGGCGAGGTATAATATTGTCTGTTCTTAAGATAAAAGCAAAAATAGCCGAATCTACGATATTTTCAGTAAGCCAGTGACCTAACTCTAGACATTTTCAGTATTTCTGTCAAGATTCACCTTTCTGTCTAATTTTTTAAACAAGTCATCAGTGCTGTGATGGAACATTACAGTTTGCATTTCATTAAAATGATGGAATGCAAGCTAACAATAGAAAAGTCTTTCAACTGAGCAACGAAAATTATGAATGTTTAGTAGGAACACTTTTTTCACTCATAAGTGATCAAATGGAGAAAAATATGCCAGAAGAATGATTGAAAAAATGGATGGAAAAGAGGAATATATAGAAACAGGAAGGTTAGAGTGACTTGCAGAAAGGAATATTCTATATTTCAGGTTAGGAACAGTGTTGAAGAAATATAAGATGGAAACTTCAACCTCAAATTGTCCATATTGACAAATATTCAATTCTTCAATTTCTAGTAAACCAGAGCACTTGACAGGCAGACATATTTATGGTTATTAAACAGGCAATAATATTGATACCTCGTCAACTAGAATTTTATTCAGAACGACAATTACCCAACAAAGCTTAACACAGTAACCTGAATCATTTATTTATAGTCTCGGCATTGTTGTTTGTTGAAGCAAGTACTATGAAACGACAAAAAATACCATTAATGTCGGGTGAAGTTGCCAATGAACATAGTTTCAGAAGAATATTGTTACCAATTTTCAGAAGGTCATAAAAATTATTGCTTATTATAGACTGTCACCATTGACATGTTACATGTCAATCAATGTCTATTCTTCGAGATTGGTAACTTTCAACCTCTGAATCCACTATTTATCACTGGTTCTTTTCACTTGACGTTTGACATTGTTTAATTGAACAAATATTATCGAATGCAGTTGATTGGTTTACCGACCTGAACCTATCCTTTCTCCCACATGGACCGTCGAATATTTCCTTGAATCTTTATCGTGCAAGTTGGCCTATGCAAACATTTTCAAAAAATTACAAAAAGTTAACTATTACTCAGTTAAAAAATATTTCCTAGAGTTCTTTATATGCCCTATTTTCAATAATGAATCCGAATTCAATGTAGTTTATTGATGATTGAACATGAGTTTTTTTTTTTTATTTTAAAATTGTTTCATTATTTTAGCAACCGTCAAATGCAATTTATTGAACTTAGCCAGAAAATGTACCAAGCCTTTACAATAAAGTCAAAATTCTGTAAGTACGTTATTCTCTGCTAATTTTGTGTTAAGACATCGAATTGTTTATGTAAAATTGTTTTTGAGCATCTCATTTTGCTAACATCGTACAGTGTAGATAGTGCTAATAAAATAAAATATGCTTTCCTTGTATTTTATTAAAGCTGAAATTTTGACCCAATTTGTGTGACAGATAGTCTCAATAATCTACGAGGAAATGAAGTTTGTTGAGCTGATTTTTTTATATTAATGCTTTGTTTTGGGGTACTAATTCACAAAAAGTTCTGAATTGTTTCAACCGTGGTTTCATTTTTCTCTGCTTGATGGACAATTTTCAAATTCATTTTCAGCTTTGATTATTCAACTTTCATTTATAAGGACCTAGAACAGAACTTCCATCATCAGCTTTTTTTAATTATGACGGCTTTGTCTAGCATGTTCATAGGTCGGCTTTAAATTGATGTAAAATACCTGTAATTTGTACTTACCTTATCCCAGCCTAATAGGTATTGGTAGAAAGGATGTTCAGTAACATTCAAATGAACTTTGGTAATGAGACTGTGTTCCTTTGAAAAGTTTTATTCTAAAATCTATTGTATTATGTTCCATATTTCCTGATGTGTATTCGCAATGATCCCTGAAGAATCATCACTATTGAGAACTTTTGCAGGAAAGTAAATGAAGATTTGACAAATTTTGAAGAGATACAATGTATTCCGTCAGGAAAAGAAACATTGCGAATACGAATACCTCACTGCCTTATAAATAATTATTTTTTATTTATGTTAATATATCGACATTGAGTGATGAGAGGGAGATGAATGAGAGACCATATTAATTTTAGTCCACCTTGTCATGATTCATGAACAATTCAATTACTTCAAAACATACCATTTTTTCAGTGCTATCATTGTCATCAAATTAATAATAAAATTTCGATTTTTATTGAAGATTCGAGCTCCTCTAACAATTTTTTTTTTCAATATTAAATCGTTTCAATATACCTACGTTTGCGGAACAATGTCGACTGCAGTACAATATTATCTTTTCTCTCCCTCTCTCATCCACCATTGCATTAATTCTTTTTAATTCATACAATCAGTGTGTTTGAAAATTCAGTATCCAGATTTCAGGAGCTTATTTTCCAGTGCAAAATACAACTTTTTTTTCTATAAATATGTGTTCGCAAACGCTTCGTTACACATCTACATATCTTCCTGTAGATTCTTACAATTTCTTGGCATACTGTATGATGTAAAACCTGAAACCTTTGTTTTGAAATCTGATCTGGACCTGGAAGCGTTTGCTGACACATGTTTATAGAGAAAAGAAGTATTATTTCGACCTGAGAAATAAGCCCCTGAAATCTTTTTTGTATTCTGAAATTATCTTCATTCCATAAGAATGCCATTTATGTCAGTCAGTCGATCGGCTTTCCGAAGCGATTAACTAGTCATTTTACCAGATATTTCTGAGATTTTCTGTCCTCGCATCTACAAAATGAGAATATAAGTATCAGTTCAATAAACTATCAGAGAGCCGGAACGAAAAATTCAATCGATTATCAGTAACACTTTATTTAAGTGACATTCTGGGACAAATCATCTGATTTTCTCTCTACTCCCCGTATATCGAAAAAATACTCATGAAAACGAGGAGAGAAATTCTCAAATATCTGAAGAAATTAATTTCGATAGAAGGAATATTGAGGGAACTGTTTTAAGCAAACCAGGAGAAGATTATTGGACATAGCCCTCAGGAAGAGTTAACCGTAGACACGTGTTTCGAGCTTTTGGCCCTCATCAGTACGGTGAAAGAAGTGCGCAAAAGATAGGCAACAACTTGGTAAAAGACGAAAACAAATGTGCTGTTGGCTTCTTGTTTGTTGACTCCATCGATTTGTTGTTTTCGTCTTCCACCAAGTGCTGCCTATCTTTTGCACTTCTTTCACCGTACTGATGAGGACACGGAACACGTGTCTACAGTAAACTCTTTATAATCTTCCCCTAGTTTGAAATTAATTTTTTTTCGTCGTTTAACCTTCAGACAGTATTGAGCGATTAACTAGACTTTTTCTGTTTGTTTTTCCGCGCACATCCAGGCTGGCCGTGGGCGTGGGGCGGTGGCACGTGGCCGGGCCGGTGGCCCCCCAGCCCGTGGGGGGGCGGCGGCCAACAGGGCGGGCCGGGCGGGCGGAGCGGCAGGGGGGCGTGGGGCGGCGCGCCAGGCCGCTCGTGGAGCGGGCCGCGCCAAGGCAAGTTTGCCAGGTGAGTGGTAGCGGATGGTTGTTGGTGCTTCTCTTCTTCTCTTTGCTGTACGTACAGGGGGGATTCACCATAAATGCCCCCCCTCCTATAGCTCACCTATTTTTGGACCGATTTAATTTGAAATATCACCTGAAATGATTTAAAAAAAAAATTTTACCGTTGCATCAGAAATAAAGGGTGCTAGGAACAAACGACCTACAGAGTACTACTTGATATTTTCGAATGGAACACTCTGTATTTCATTATATTTTTAGATTCTCCCTGAAGAGCTGATTTCATCAATATATCACTCTTGGGGTGTTCAAAATCGAGATTTTTCAACTTTAGAATGTCTTTGTGTCGAAACTATTCATTATTGGTCAAAACGGCGGTAAACTTCTGATTTACTATCTACTGACATTTAATTGGAACATATACAGTGTGGTTCAAGATTCAGAATTCTAATCACCCTGTATCTGTTCCGATTATCAAATGTCAGTAGATAGTAAATCAAAAGTTGAGATACAGACATGAAAGCCGTTTTGACCGATAATGTATAGTTTCGTTGAAAAATCTCGATTTTGAACATCCTATATCTCTGTTTTTATTTCCGCTAGACCCCAAGTGTTATGCATTGATGAAATCAGCTCTTCATAAATTTTAAAAAATCAAATAGTACCCTGTAGATCGTTTTTTCCGAGCACTTATCCTATCGAAAATCATTCTAGATGATATTTAAAATTTTGCAATCGATTCAAAAATAACTGAGAGGGGGGGGGCATTTACGGTGAATCACCCTGTACGTACAGGGGGATTGGAACTTCCCGCCTTTGGCTCATAACAGGAAAGGAAAACTGCAAATGCAAATCTGGCAGAGTGGATTTGAATAGCTGTGTGTAAGGTATATTTTTGTATAGTCCATTTTCTTCTCATATGCTCAAATATAGTTTTTTGTTTCACCAGGCAGCGAAGTAGTAGATTGACTGCCGTGTGAAACATATAAGTTTTTCGCCAAATGTTATAAAACCAATTTTGTGTAATTTTTTTATCGAAATTTCCATCATTTTGTGTTTACCTTAACCCAATGTCGTGTCAATTTTTATTACCAATTTCATTCAAATTATCAAATTACTTGGAACGTTGCATAGCAATAAACTTTTCCTGCTTAGGCAGATAAAGTACATCTTTCATGTCTGTTCAATGTCAAAGAAAAGGCACTTTTTATGCCGCTTGGATAAAAACATTTGTTTAAACAACTTCAATCCAAAAATCTGTTACTCTCTGTATTTGGTTGATAGCTATGGTCAAGTCGGCCATCAAACAAATTGTTTCGTAAATAATATGAATATACACTTCGCATTCATATTAAAACTAAAACCCGGCCGACTTGATTTTTATTGCAGCGGGTTTAGTTGAGATTTATTTGAAGAGTTCCATAGCTTTCAACCAAATATACATAGAAAATAACTGTTTGAATGAAAGTTGTTTGAAAAAATATGTTCTTCCAGAATATGGAAAAAAATGGTAACTCAGTGGAAAAAAAATATGTTTTCTGACGTCATTTCCACCATTTTGAAAGGGTTGAGAATTGTTCAAATATGAAAAAATATACCTTACATACAGCTATTCATATCCCCTCTGCCAAATTTGCAGTTTTTCTTTCCTCTCATGAGCCAAGGGCGGGAAGTTTGAATCATCCTGTACATGAGTACAGTTCCACGTCTATAAAAGATATGGCGTCAGAATAGTATAGAAAGAACTCACAAACGATAAGATTTCCACAGAATCAATTCATAGACTTTCTGATAGGTAATTTCGGGTATAGTCTTCGCACATTTTATGAAATTCAAATAGAACCAGTAATTCGTGAAAAAACCTCGCTCCAACGCATTACCGTACCGCCTCAGAAAGTCTGATCACACGGAAAATCTGAACGAATCAACATTTAGTATAGTTGAGAGTAAACAATGGAATGTGGCTTACATGACAACGCAATATATCATTTATTCCTATTAGAATTTTTTCGGCTTTGAAATACTTGAGAAAAGCTTATCGTTCGTGAAGTTTTAACTATCAATCTAGTCGCCATTCGAAACATTATTTGTGATTGATCTTCTTTTAGAGCGAATTTGGAGACACTTGTGATAGAAATTCTTTGTTTATACCTTGCCACTATCTTTATTCCTTTCCAGTTATGTTGGCAGTTGCCTAAAGAAGTTCATCGATGATCCCTAACCCTAATTTTCATCGTGTTTTAGAGGCGTGAAGTTCTTGAGATGGTGTTCTCGTTTTAATACAGTATGTACCTTGTCGTTACCACCGATGCAATAAGGCCTGTACGCTGCCGTGCTCACCTCACGTAGGGTAGAAGTGTTTATTCAAACTAATGAATTTTTGGAACAATCCTTCGATTCTTCTAATTTTATTGGCAATCTAGTACTCAAAATGTATAAGGTATTGTTATTACGACTATCATAACACAAAGTAAACACCATTATTTATATCGGACATATGAAAGAAACGACGTATACTGCGTAAACTAATGAAAAATTACCGCTTTCGGTCCTACCCTTGCTGACGTCAGACTATGATAACATCGGAGCCTTATGGCCTTGTTGTATAGGTGGTAAATACCTTGTCCTACCCTTCTCATTGAATGGAAAACAAAGATGAGCTTCTATTCAAAATTCATATGTTTGACTTTCTCCATTATTTGGTACGGTGAAATAATATTCTCGACTGAAAAAAATGGGAACGGATGATTATCTGACCTTTGAATAAATTGACTTGAGGGATGGAAATTCAAATCATGATGGTGTTTAAGGATCGCTATAGTTGCTCATCTTCATTTTCTGGTATGTCATATATGTCATATCCATTCATATTTCCTTCTCTCTTCTATCCTTTAGTTGAGGTTTTGAAGAAATTATACGAACCCCCAGAACCCCTTACATTCATCCTCGAACTGAAAAAAAATTCTTGAACGTGATATGATGAAACGCTGTTTTTTGTTCAACTTGTATTCGTCTTATCCTTCGAAGAATCATTTATGGTTCCTCGCACATTTTTTTTTCAAATTGCGCTTTCATGAAAGGTAGTAATGCGACAAGACATATTTCTAAAAAAAAACATACTGCTCTATTTTCATTACTTGAGTCACTTCTAGAGGAAAAAATATACCTATGCAATAGTGTGACAATATGTTTTTCGCGTCATTTATGAACGGAGGTCCGAAATAATTTTTTGTAGTGGCTTGTTATACTATTGCTCCAACCAAGAAGGGCACAAACTCATTTTGAACTCATTGTTTCACATTAAGTCGTTCATTTATTATTTTGGTTCATTGGAATCAACTGGGAGTTCGTGATAATAAACTTCCTAATTGAACAAATTTCTTAATATCAGAATTTCACAGCTTGATTCTCTCTTCTGGCTCTAAAAACATTCAGAGTGTTTCACAATATCGTCAAGCGGTATTTCGATTATTTCAGATAATGGCCAAATGAACTATTCATCTTATAATTACATATATTCAAATTATGTTGGATGACATCAAGAAGTCCTTCTCATTCCAACCTTGAAATTAATGCTGGGGGGAGGGGCTAACATCTCTGTTGCAATATGAAAAACTGATAATTTTCCAAGTATATTTTGATCTGTCTCTTCATTCATCGAAATAACCGAGATATCCCTTGTGGGGCATTCTGTAATCATCCCTTGGCGCCCTATGGTTCATTCTAGTCGCTCGTTTTCCACCCAGCAGGTAAGCGGAAGTTCGACGGGGGCCACCAGGGGAACCAGGGGGACACGAAGCGCCGGTACCAGAGCACCTGGGGGGGCCAAATAGCCCAACAGCCGGACCTGAACGGCGAACAGCAGACGTGGTACCAGGACTCGTACGGCTCCTGGAGCTAAGTGCGGCCAAAAAGACAAAAATTTGTCTCATAAAACACACACGAACGTTCGAGCGTCGGGAATGTCGGGATATATGATAATTTGATGATTTGATAATTTGATGATTCGATGATTATCACCGGCGGGACTGATTATGAGTGCGATAAGTGGCCCTACGTCGATACTGGGGGGTTGAAGGGGTCTGGGCAGGTTAGGTTCCGTTGACGAACGTACTCGGTAGGTCTGTGGGACCGCTGGCGCGTTTCCAAGGTTCTTTGCAAAGTTCGTTGCCACATCTTCCAGAGTATTTCAAAACTTGGGTCGTGTCGAGTTGATTGTCCAACTGTGATGGTCCACCCGACAACGTCACTAAATTAGCAACACAGTGTATCTGTGTCAGTGTCAGTTAATGGTCTTGTGTCTTATCAGTATTGTTGTGAATTGCGATTCCAAATTGCAAAAACATTGATTCCTCTCCCATTATATTATTTTTAATTTTGAAAATTATCAATCCATTATGATAAGAAACTTGTCGACACAGTATCACTTTATCGGACTCCAACACAACAACTTGATGATTCTCTGACCAGGCTAACCACGATCATTGCGTTTGGAAACATGACAAGATGACCGGTCACACGATTTAGACAAAACGCACAGTTGAACAAGCAACTCAAAGATTTAAATAAGTTCGACATAGGTCCAACCTTCAACTTACCGCGACCTTTGAATGCTCTGATATGTCAACCTAACGTATCCACAGCATCAAACACTCTTATTCAAAATCAGATGCAAGTAGGTATGACACAACGACATATTATGGTCCCAACATTTTAAAAAATGTAGTGGCTGTGGTGAGAGACGAATATAATGAAAAATTTTCTGTTTCACTCGCTTTCATCATTTTTGCAGTCGTTCTCTTTTGGTCTCGATTACGTCATTGATAAAAAACCACAAAAAGCTACGAGAGATAAAAAAAAGTGTGAACGCTGAAAGTTGAACGAAGTCTTGATCAATTATTTATAATCACCACAATTAATACCAACATGTTGTAAACATTGTACAAACAACATAAGGCAAAGCATTAGAATAACTTCAAGATTGAATCGGCCCCTCCCATTCCAATTATTGTTAGTACAAAATTATCAATTCATAATCTTCATAACTGTACTTTCAATAGTGTCACTTCAATTTGAAGATGACGTGTTAGCATTCTCATTCCATTGAAGCATCATTATCACAGGCAATATGAAATGAATCATTTGTGAATCAAAATTCGATAAATCGTCAATGATCATGAAGCAATCCATTTTGATGAATAACTCAACTACTGAATCATCATAATGACAAAAAGAAGTTCATGCATGGATGGAGACTGAAATCAATAATTTGTTTAGTCAAAATTCGATGAAAGTTGAATCACTTTAACTCTCCCTAAGGCTACATTTTCACATTACACTGGTGGCAAATATCGAGCTTTCAAAGTAAGTAGTGTTGTGGATCGATTTGGTCGACTTAGGGTAGCAGCTGTGTTGGTTAATCGAATGGTGAATACTTTGTTGGATGTGGTGACGAACTAGCGATTGTACAATGATGAATTGTTGTTGAATTGGAAATCCGCTAGCGGTGCTCGATATGGCCCGCCCAGCTGATGGTGTCCCCGATCTTGCTACACGTTGATCATTACCTATTCCGCATTCGTTTTTCTCTTTATTTTTTCTTCTCATTGATTTTGACTTGTTGTTATTGGTACATTCAAAATTGAGATATATATAATTGCTGTTCGTTTGTTTTTGGATTTAAATTTGTCAATTAAATTGATTAAGTTATATTTCATTATTCTTTGATGGAAATGTTGTTTTTTGTGGACGGAGGTTTTCGTTGGAAACGAGTCGACGCGCGTTATTGATCATTCAAAATGATCGCCTAGTAGAATGTTTGAAGTTATTTATTATACGGGGTCGTGTCGTAGCTACTTGCCACAAAATTCACCGACGTGTCTCTTGGATCAGTTCGAACCTAAAAAATTCTCGTAAATATCTGTTTCAATACTTTTTTTCAGTACATAGCAAACTTTCACGTTGCATTTCGAAAATTTTTTCGAATTTCGTAAAACTGACGTGGACTTTCTAGACCATGTGCAGTTTTCATTGCCCCGAATGAACCTAGAGACGTGTCGACGAAATTTTGTGGATGCACTTATGGAACGCCCTATATATTGTTTTTCCATCGGCTTGTTCAATGCCTCGAAAACCTTTGTCTCGTTGGGCTTGTGCGTTCCTTGTTCTGGCGACAACTACATTCGATTTTTGGGATGCCGACGCCCGTTCGTTGATAGTCTTTTTTATACATGTGTACAGGGCGTTGAGTTGGGGATCGTCGACATTATTTTCTTCACGACAATGAGAACTGCGGGGTTTTTTCATTGTTGGGTAGTGGTGATATTTTCGAAATTAGTTTCGTTAATTTTTTTGGCATTACTTCTTCAGTAACTGGAACATGTCAACTAATGTCGTTTCAGCTCTCACTTTCGTGAAGGGATTATTGTCAACGACCCTTCAATGAATCGCCCTGTATTTAGGCTGAGCGGTTTGTTTCTGTCTTGAGCTCCATTAAATCATATTTTTCTTCATTTCTATTTGAAAATATCGATATCCTAGGTGTGTCAATTCATTTTAATTATTTTCTGGATTTTAAGTCAACTAGTTCGAAATTTTCTTGAATTGGGACGGTTTTGAAAAATCGATTGTCCCGTTTGGCGCTAAGGGACTCATCGGTTTGTGCAACATACAGGAAATATCGATGATAATAAGTATGTACCTACTACATAGCTGTGCAACGCGAATTGAAGAAGTTGCAAATGTTGCTTGAGGACGGTGCCAGCAGCTTTCTAAATTCTCTCTGGAAGTGGGATTACAAAATTATTAGCAGTCAACCCTATTAACGTTTTCAAAGTTTAAGTGAAATTATTGATTCTATTTTCCTTCGAATTGTTGATGATTATTTCTCTATAAAAAACTGTCACCGTACCAACAGCCTCACACAGATGCACTGCACTGAGTCCTTGCTATGGAATTGTATTTTCGAGACACCAAGGGTATTAAAATGAAATTTGATCTTTCTGTATCCGAAAACATAGTTTCTCATAGGACAGAGGGAACTTTATTATATGTACAATATAATTATATATTTTATTCTCGGTAATGCATTTTTTGCATTGTGATGATTGTATTTTAGCAGTAATTTAAGAAGTTTAGAACATGTACTTCTGTTTTCCGGCACATATTTTTCTTTGATGTTTACCATTTTTCTGACGAAAAAAATAGCCTGAAAGAAATTCACGGAACGCCAGTTTCCTTTATATACAGGCTGCGAATCCATATTGGGGCGACAAGCTTCGAAATTCTGACAAGTGACTATTATGTTCTTCTGAAATCGTTCAAGATGTTCATATTCTTGAGGAAAAACAAATTATACCATCGAATTATCATCAGAAATTGGAATATGGATGATTTTCTGCAGTTGTATAGATTGTCAAATATAATCTGCTTTCAAGAAATACTGCTGAACAGTATGGTAGCTAGACGGATCACAATTTTTTTTTTACTAAATCAAATCATGACTCATTGATCACATCATCTGTTATACCACTTACCAAAGCGATTTTTTTTCATTACCGAAATTATAAAATTAAACAAATATATCTATTTTCCAAACACTAAGCATATTCTCCAATTTCCGATTTCTCTGAAATGTTCCTTCAACCTAGTGTTATCGGGTTTTCTAGTTTGGCCTACAAATATATCGCCATAGACATTTAGATCTATGAGTTGGTGGGTGGTAAAACAGTATGTTGTGAAGTTTAGCAGTTGAAAAGCCACATTCTGGAATTGATTGCATTTAATATAGGGTGAGATAGCAGCAGCTCAAACCTCAAGTTTGTGAACATCCTGTTTGTTATCGTCGTGCATTTGTCTCTTCGTCGAAAGTCTGATATCTGGGATGACCGTGAGGATTACAGCTAAGACACTCATTTGCAATCATTAATTCAGTTATTATATTGTGTTATGTTTGTATTGTAATTTAATATCACTATAATTATTCGCTTTTTATTTGGTTTAGCCTTGGCATTTTGTCCCTCCGATACATTTTGTTTGTTCGGTTTTTTTTTTCGTGTCACTTAGATAACCCTTCAATATTTGTACCATATAAGCCTAATAGTAACACTTTTGCAATTTTTAATGATTCAAACCATACTACTGTCGAAATGGCACGGCCTTCCTCCCATTATACAGGGCGTTGCGATTCCCTTCTCATTTTGTCTTGCTCAGTCTATTAATCAGAAATTTTCCTGATAAACTCTTGTTTGGTTGGTGGTGTCGTATTATTTTACAGAAATTTATAAAAGCATGGTTTACTATCGGTAATTTGAAACGTTTTAGATCGGTACCTAATTTAAAACCAAGTTGTGAGGTTTTAATAAAGTTTTTGATGAAACTTGGAGTGAATTGAGAACGTCCTGTATGTCGCCCGTACTGAAATTAGTACAGTACCATGATTCCGGGCGTCTACTACTGGCCAGTACGGTTTCAGTACGAGCGGAATTTGGTGAAAAAAAAAAAAGGTCGAGGTCATTCATATTGTACTACTACTGTATTTCTCACTGATGATTTATAATTTTGATTTGTCGAAGCCCCTTGTGCCAGCTTCGAACATGATTTTTTGTTTTTCATAATCTATCATCTATCGATTATAATGAGAGGACTGATGATTTATATGTCTTAATAAACAGTTGTATGTGTATTACAATTTTACAAGTAGGTAAGTTGTTTTTTGTCGTTTGAACAACAATTCTCCATTCCATTCTCATTTCCTCAAATCCTTTACGTTTTCCCAGGTCCCGGTCGTGTTTTAATAATTATACTTATACTATGATGATAAGAAAGGTCTGAAATTTAAATAAATATCGGGGAAGATGGTTGTATAGAAGGTGATTCAAGATGACAAGTGCGATGAATTGAAGTGCTTGCAGATGAAGGTAAGTTATGATGATGTCTTCGCCGAAATAAAAGGTCTGTGGTGCCGGCAGATCAAACTTTCTTCATTATCTCTCAACATAGTGGACCAATGATCTTTATTTTCTCTGTGTTGTTTGCTAAACACCCGCGTTGGCGTGGTGGATTACCTTTGTCCCACAAAAAATTGGAAAAGGTGTTAACAATTTTTGTGATTATCACACAACACTGTTGAAATAAAATATTGAACTATGAAACTGCATTTTTATTTGGACTAGAATAATCACTGGCGATAGGTAAAATTAGTAAGGTAAAGAAGATAGATACTCCGGTTAGTACCCAAGTAATTTCGTGCAATTTGGTTAGTAGTGTTAGTACATAACTGACAACCTATCATTACGAAAAAGAAGCCGAAGAATTGTGATTGTATAACCCTTGTAGCAAAGGCCTACGAAGATAAATAGTGTTTATAGCAAGGGTCTATGAAGATAAGACAAAGAGAAGAATGAGTAACATGAATTTTCTAACCTTAATTATAGTCGGTGTTAGCACGTGTTACTCGTGTTAGTCACAATCATTAGTGGTGAAAATCAAAGCGGAAAATCTGAGTGTTATAAGGTATAATGAGTAAGGAAAATTTCGTTTCTGCATGAATAACTACTTTTGACTTCTCGGCCTCAATGAACCTTTTTTCTGAAAAGTATATTCTTTCGAAAAATTACTTTAGACTCCACGCAGCGCAGGCAGTTGAACACGAGCCACCGCCATTGAAGTCAGATGTAAATCCAACGGAGCTTGAGCTATCAAAGTTATTCGAAAGTTTTATATAATATGAAGAAAGAAGAAATATCGTGTGTTGGCTTGTTCATTACCTTTTTTTTTTATATACTTTTCAAGGAAAGGGCCATCTAGGCCGAGTAAGGTTATAATTAAGGTGGGTTTATACATCAATCAAAATGAAATAAAAGGAATTTATTTCTGACAGTGACATTATAAGCTTATATCGTCATAGTTACGATATCTATTATGAGGGTCATAACTCCCTTGGGATGTTATAGATGCTATAATTCCCTCTAGCTAAAATTAAATAAGAAATGCATAGCAACAACCACGCAATAACGTAGCAATAAGGAATCTCCTATTCGCGGTAGTCAAGATCATCATCTGACGCTCTGATGACATTGAAACTATACGGAAAAACATGTCTAACTTCCAATCGGGAAGGTATCTAATGAATGAAATCAGTCAGAAATAAAATTATCTATGTATCACGGGAATTATAGAGCCTTAATAACCTCTGGCAATTGCTGTCCCTCGGGCCAGAGGCCCTCGGGACGCAAACTTTGCCATCGGTAATTAAGGCCCTCATAATTCCCTTAATACATAAATAACTATTATTTCTGACTGGTATATTATAAGCTTATATCATCTTAGTTACACTATCAATTAGGAGGGTCATAACTCCCTTGGGATGTTATAGATGGTATAATTCCCTCTAGCTAAAATTAAATAAGAAATGCATAGCAACAACCAGGCAATAACGTAGCAATAAGGAATCTCCTATTCGCGGTAGTCAAGATCATCATCTGACGTTCTGATGACATTGAAACTAGAGTCACTGGATGCGGGAAGGTATCTTTTAATGAATGAAATCAGTCAGAAATAAAATTATCTATGTATCACGGGAATTATAGAGCCTTAATAACCTCTGGCAATTGCTGTCCCTCGGGCCAGAGGCCCTCGGGACGCAAACTTTGCCATCGGTAATTAAGGCCCTCATAATTCCCTTAATACATAAATAACTATTATTTCTGACTGGTATATTATAAGCTTATATCATCTTAGTTACACTATCAATTAGGAGGGTCATAACTCCCTTGGGATGTTATAGATGGTATAATTCCCTCTAGCTAAAATTAAATAAGAAATGCATAGCAACAACCAGGCAATAACGTAGCAATAAGGAATCTCCTATTCGCGGTAGTCAAGATCATCATCTGACGTTCTGATGACATTGAAACTAGAGTCACTGGATGCGGGAAGGTATCTTTTAATGAATGAAATCAGTCAGAAATAAAATTATCTATGTATCACGGGAATTATAGAGCCTTAATAACCTCTGGCAATTGCTGTCCCGAGGGCCTCTCATAATTCCCTTAATACATAAATAACTATAAGATGAGGTAATTTAAAGAATAAGGAATAAAATCCGCTGTTTATACAAATGATAATGAAATTATAATTAAGAAATCAACCAATCCAATGACAATGACGTTTCATGTTCTATGGAGATTCTGTGACAGAATTTATTTGGGTCATGTGCATTATTATTATTTTCTGAATAAAATAAAGAGATAAATGTTGGTCATCTTTTATTTTATTCTAATTCTTATTCTTGACTCAATTCCTCATATTCATATGAACGGTTCAATGGAAATGCCCATGTTGAACTTTCTTATTTTATTTTTATTTGCTGTATCAACTATCACCTTTAAGGTATGTTCATGCTTGTGCGAATTCCGCAAAATTTATGCGAATAAAATGGCGACTGCGAATATCGCAATGAAGTTGAAATATTTGAACTTTTTTACGAATTCGGATGGAATCATGACCACATATGATATTTTGTTATTATGATAACATCAAAATTGGGGAATTAGAGGGGGCGGACAGCAGAGGCCGAATAGACACTAGACTACAGGAAAGTACAGAATTATAATTGAAAATTTCATCATTTCATTTGACTAAAATTTTCTTCGTAGGATGGATTCTCTGTTAGTTAATTTTGAAGTATCATCTGTATCGTCTCTCTAGAACTAATGATGTATCCAGAAGCAAAAAAAGGAGCTGTACTGTTCGAAGCATTTTCAAATGCCGAAAAAATGAATAGAGATTTAGTACAGCCTCGTTCGATAAATGCGACTGAATTATCCTAATAAATATTTCAATTCAATTTCGTGTAACGTGCCTTGAATTTGATGCACTTCTATCAATGATGGGACCAGAAATAAAGAAATCATATGACAACAGAACCCTTATCTTCAGGTTATTTTGTCGCATGAGTATGAACGTCGAATTCTGTTGGCATTTCATATTTTGCGAATCGCATAAATTTTGCGGAATTCGTACAAGCATGAACATACCTTTAGGCTCGCTCCTTAGGGTCCTTCAAATTTGGTATACAGGGTCTTTAAGGGGTGCCCTAGTGCGGAGTAGAAGAACAGCTCTAGTTTATATAGAAAAAAAGTAGAAAATTTTTGATTACACTTCTCTGATTTATTTTCTAATGCGAACATGTGGGAAACTGAGAGAGGTTGAAGTAAACTGACTTCAGATTCTTGTTCAGCTTATGGCACCACTGACTTCAGATTCTTGTTCAGCTTATGGCACCACGAAATAAATAAGTAAAAAGTTCAAAGGAGTTTTTCTTTTTCTGACCCAAAAATCAATTTTGTCATATATATATAGGGCATTCAAATGTGGTATGCACAGCTCTCTAGCTTTTATAGAAAAAAAAAACAATTTTTGACACCCTTCCATAATTTTTTTTCGAATGCGAATATTTGGGAAACTGATGGAGTTAGAAGAAAACGTGACTTCAGATTCTTGTACAGCACAACTGAGTTGGTTCACGTATGTATTTTATCCACATATATGTTTTCTTCTCCACACTCATTCTCTTGTCCTGCTCCTCATATTTCAACCTCCTACGCTCCGTAGCGGTCATCTATATAACTAATATATATAACAAAGTTCAAAGGGGTTAAGGTTGTTTCTTTTTCAGACGCACAAATCAACTTTGTCGTAGGGCCTTCGAATTTTGTATACAGGGTTCTTAAAAGATGCCCTAGTGCGGAGTAAATGAACCTCAGAGCTTTCTAGTTTGGAAAGGAAAAAACTAGGAATTTTCTTCCTCACTTTGCTCTGACTTTTTTAAACCATCTCCTTGAACAAATAAAGGAGCAGGCTATATCTTACAGAAAATAATTCAGTAATATTGAAACTATGTCAGTCTAGATTTTATTAATTGCACAAAACACAGGATAAACCAGCAACATAATATAATAATCAGAAATCATGAAATATGATTGAATTCAGTTGATAAAAAATTTGGTAAGTACTCTATACAGGGTGGCATTGAAATAAGTGCAAATATTTCAAACACTGAGAAAGCTCGACGTGTAGTATATCGAATGGCACTAATGAAAGAAATTTATGGATCAAAATAAAATTTGAGGTTAGAACCCTCTTTCCACCCAAAGTTCTACACTATATCAAATCTGACGTCACCTCTGTTCAAATTTCCAAGCCGTAGGCACAATCACGCGGAGTTCAATCATTTAAATTGTTTCAAAGTGGCGTACTCTCGATTCTTTTCTCGTATTTTTTTTCAATTTTTGGGATGAAATTTCTCGTTAATTAGAAGAATTAGAAAAAATCTGATATCATGGGAATATTCCTTAGACTGTATCATATTAATGTGTTGAATATGTGCATTTTTTATTTCAAAAACACCTTGTATATTCAAGTTCAAATTTACATCGGACAAACAAAAAATGTATTATCTTGGATGGATGCATTAGGTTATTGAATAATAAAGGAAGAATAGTCATCAATCAATAATGTACAATATATTTATTTACATCAACTAGTTGAAATAAATCTTCTATAATCGCATGTATATAACTACTTACATTCATTGAATGCCGAAATAATTTGATTTGTGTCAATCAAGTTTTCATACAAAACTAATATAAAATTGCCAATAATCAGCTGCTACCCGAAATTCATCAAAGTTGAAGTAACTATTGGTCCAATGATTATTAAAAAAATAAATGATATGCAATTATATATTGGTCCAGATAACTGATGAAATTATTAACAAAATATCAGATCTCTGATGAAGGATAGTCCATGCCGAAACGTCTGGAAGAATATTTTGCAAAATGGGGTGTCCTCCCAGAGAACAGAATATAAAAATGCAGGTCCGTATTCGAAAATATTAAGGAAATTTACTAACTATCGTTTTTCCAATAATTATCGTTGATCATGAAAAAAAAAATCCCAGATATAAAAAAACAAATTATTGGCAACGATTTTATACTGGTTGATATTCATGAAAAGTTTACAACTGGAAGCGGTTAGTGATGGTTTATTTATCAAAAAAACGATAAATTTAATGTAAAAGTGTAAACTTCCTATGAATACTTTTCTACCTTACACAACATACAAGTTATCTAAATTTTAGAATCGATTATTCGGTTGGCGAAAATAACCTACTTAACAATTCGTGTGAACCTTGTGTACTATGCATGGAGTGATAATGATAGGAACTTGGACCAAAAAATGTCAGAAGAACTAACAGACAGACACATTTAGGTAAATAAATAAAACACATCACTTTTTCACCAAAATATATTTTTATCACATGCAATTTAAATAATACTTACACAAAATCCACAATATAACAATATTTTTCGCTAAAATTCAATGACGTTTATTTATTACTTTCAATATACAATAATTGAATATGTTAAAGATACTTACAATTAAACTTTATCACAGTCTTATCAGAGTTCTCAACAAATAAAAATCTTGTGTGGTTGTTTGTTTATAATCAGCAAACTGTAGGTATATCGATAAATTACAATTAAACAAGTAATAAACCAAGTGTTTAAATACTTACTCCTCTGTTTTTTTATCAGTTATCTCAGTTCATCTGTTATCATGCATAAAATGATAAAAAATGTCGATGTTCATCCATACTCGCGACCGTCTTCAGATCGGTAATATACAGAGTGGTAACCAAAAAAACGAGTCAAAGTCATTTTCATTTACCGATTTTGAATGAGCTAACAATAAGTTGATAAACTCTTTACTTTACAGTTCATCAAAATCGCATGATAAAATTAGGGCGTTAATGACTTTGTAGCGTTCTTTTAAAAATCACCCTTTATAGCAAGGAACAAAAACTCGAACTAGTTGCTTTTTCCATTGGAAAAATATTGAAAAGATCCGAGAAATAGGTAGAAAATACCCACATAGGAAGGAAAGTCTTTGAACACTCGGTATTGCTATCATAGGTAATGCCTCAATTGAAAGTGTTCTGTCTGATGCTTATTTGAAAGGTTCACAGAATTTTTAACAGCATATATTTTATATTATAATAATTGAAGCCTATGCACATCGAGATGCAAAAGAGACTTAAATATACAGGGTGTGTCCCAAAAAAGTTTGTCGGGACAATTTGTCTACAAGAACCGAGACACCCCTGTAACTTTCAAGTAGTTTTGTTTGATTTCTGGAAATTTCGAAGTTTATTCATGTTGAAGAATTTGTTCCGACACTCCATGACACTCTAACACCTTTACTTCTGTATAAAATAACGTGACACGGGTCACAAAAACATCACAAATTCGTCAAAGCGTCGAAACACAAAAATTTCATAAAATTGCTTTTGTGACGGTTTCGTTGCAGTTTCGCAACACTTTAGTGACGTTAAATACGCATTGATGAATGCATGAAAAAAAGCGTTACGTATGCTTTTGTGACATTTCCCCGACATTTTCGTTATGTTTTTCTACGCTTTGACGAATTCGTGACGTTTAATGACGAATTCGTGACGTTCTCACGACGTTTCCGTGACGTTTTTCGACGTTTTGACGAATAAATAACAAAGCGTCACTCGTGCTCAACGCATTAGTAACTCTTGTGTCATTTTCGCGACATTTTAGTTGTTTTTCGACGCTTTGACGAATTCTTAACGTTCCATGACGGATTCGTGACGTTTTAACGACGTTTTTGTGACGTTTTCGTGAGCTGAGTCACGCAGGTGAAAGTGGAGGGGTGGAACAACTACTTGTTGAACTCGAAAGTTTCAGGGGTGGCTCGATTAGTGTGGCTACCCGGTAGGTACCTAGATTTTGGTTCCAAATTTTCTACTACGTTTCAGTTAATACTAGTTTTGACTGGCCATCATAGTTTTGGGTTACGTTCCATTAGTACAGAATATGTAATTTTCATGGGAGATGGAATCTGTGAAATGCACACATAATTGACGTAATTTCAAAATATATATACATATTCTCGAAATCTTGCGGCATATTCTGTAAACGCTTCCTTAAATTTATAAAAACCACAGAAAAAAGCTCGTTTTTGTAAAAAAAAATGTCCTAATTACTCGAACATTCTGAACTAATAGAACGAACCCTTGTCGCCATCTTTTTTGATATTATGTACATTTTATACAAATTTTAAATATTTGATTTAGACCTTTCTTCAATTATTAATACATTGTTTATTGTTATCACACTTTGTTCACTCAAATGTTCCACGACACAGGGCGTTTCACTTTTCTGTACAACCAATCCGACAGATCATCGAAAAATAAGTATGATGTTCATTAATTTCATGCTCATTTTCCTCCCCGTCTTAATTGCATAACTTACCGTGTGACACAAACTCATGGTACATCCTCTTTTCTCCTCTATTTATCTGAAATAATAATCTACATTTTCCTCATGAAGTAATTTGGAAGGAAAAGAATGGTTCTCTTCAAAATTGTGAAAATATAATATGTGAATGATGATGATTGTTTCAGAAAGCCGAAACGTTGAAATCTGATCGAATAGTCGTATTCCTCATGTGAGATTGCTAAAAGCATTCTTTTATCAAATCCGAAAAATCCCAAGAAACACAAAGTTATGGCACAATTTCAAAAGTGCATTTTTCCGAAAAATGATAACACGTTCATCAACAAGGAAGAAGAACAAAAGAGAAAAGAAATTTGTACGGTGAGTCTTCTCCATCCATTTATCAAATCTCATCCGCGAGAAAAACCGCAAAATATCCTCCACCGTCAAACAATGAGGTTATGCCACAACCATCCATTGCAGAACAAACTCTGACATATCGATCCTCGCACAACACTGCTTACGTCACCGGTCAAGCGTCTAGCCAGGTAAGTCTTCATAGGAACTCGTCTATCATTTTCCTCCGGCACCTCATCTCTATTCGAACAAGTCTTTATAGAAACTCGTCTATCTCTTGTCTCTATTAGAACAGGGCGAGAATGTCGTCTCTTCTTCTTATTCGAACAAGTCTTTATAGAAACTCTCTTTTTTTTCTATTCGAAGAGGGCGAGAATGTCATCGTTGGTGTTGGAGTTGGCGTGGCCGGAGCTGCTGCCGCCGCTAGAGGGCGGTGTGTTGAGGTCAGGCGGGTCAAGGTAGGAGAGCAACTCCATAGGGTCGACGCTGTCGGGCAGCAACTGCAAAAAATCGAAATCGTCCCATTAATCGTCAATAATTTTAATGGCATCAGTGGAGGTATTTCTCGCTGTTTCAAACGACTCCTTTATCTTACGTAATCGTTGGGAAAGGATCCTGAAATTTGCTGGAGCGAGAGATATACCAAAAATGCACTCTATGACCAACTGGGGGCCATCTTCAGTGATATACACTGCTCGCCAACAGCCATGGAACCACCCCAATGTCCTGAAAATGATATTAGGAGCCAAAATAGGTCGAAAATCACTTCAGATTCGGAATCAGGACGCCCAGTTTACTAACTATTCATACTTTTCCTGAAAAATTTTCAGTTCTGAAAAATTAAATTTTGTCGCACTTTCTACAGAAGCACCCCCGTATCTTACGTAATTGACTTTATCTCTGAACTTTCCCTTCCTCCTGCAAATTTCAGAACTCTACCTCAATAATTACGTGAGATACGGGGGTGCTTCCATGAGAAGTGAGACAAAATTTAAATCTTCTGAACTGAACGTTTTCTAGGAAAACTATGAATAGTTAGTGAATTGGGCGTCCTGATTCCGAATCGAAAGTGATTTTCAACCTACTTTGATTCCTAATATCATTTTCCGGTAATTGAGGTGGTTCCATGGCTGTTGGCGAGCAGTGTATATCACTGAAGATGACCCAACTTGGTCATACAGTGCATTGGTGGTATATCTCTCGCTCCAGCAAATTTGAGGATCCTTACCCAACGATTACGTAAGATACAGGGGTGTTCCCATTAGAAGTGGGTCACACTGTATATATACAGTGTCATTCATAAAGTCGGCATCATATGGGAAAAACTTTTATTGATGACTTATTTTGAAATTCGAGTTGGACGTTAAGTTTTGCTTCAAAGAAGATGAGAAATGGCCTACTCAATCGGGGTCACGTGACTCCCTACATGTCAAAAGTGACATTTTTTTCAAATTAATCGCTGAAAGTAGGCTTATTTTTTCGAATATCGAAAAAAGTTTACTTGAAAAAGTTGTTTCTATTTAAATTTTACATATGTGACTCGGATTTTATCTTTTTATTACATTTTTTAGATTTCGATATTTTTTGAAAATTTTCAAAATTTCTGTAGTATTAAAACAATTGTAAATTCGATAAAACTACTTCATACCAGTAGTTTCATCATGCTATTAACTTTCAATTACTAATTATCACTAATTATTATCGACAAGAATATGATTTTCTTCAGAAAATGATAATCTCCGCTTCAAAATTCTGTTACGTTTGGGTCAAAAATTTAGAAACGAAATTCATTCAAAAATTTTTTTCAGTACTGAAAAGATCAGTCTGAATGAATTTCGTTTCTAAATGCTTGACGATATATCAACTTTGCATCAAACATAACAGAATTTGTAAGCGGGTATTATCATTTTCTGAAGAAAATCATATTTCTGTCCATAATCAGTGATGATAAGTAAATGAAAGTGAGTAGCATGAAAAAGCTACTGGTACGAAGTAGTTTCATGGAATTAATAATTCTTCAAATATTACAGAAATTTCGAAGAATTTTAAAAAAATCAAAATCTAAAAATTGCAATAGAAAAATCAAATTCGAGAAGCATGTGTCAAATTGGAATATAAACAACTTTTTCAAGTAAACTTTTTCGATATTCGAACAAATAAGCCTACTTTCAGCGATTAATTTGAAAAAATGTCACTTTTGACATGTAGCGAAAGTCACGTGACCCCGATTGAGTAGGCCATTTTCCATCTTTTTTGAAGCATAACTCAACGTCCACCTGGAATTCCAAAATAAGTCATTGATCAAAGTTTTTCCTATATGATGCCGACTTTATGAATGACACTGTATATATATATATATACACTTTTTTGTGCTCATAAATATATCTGAGAATACTCCTTTTCAATAAAGTTCCTTACGTTCAGTGCTTCCTGTCCGGTCCCCTCCCCTTCGATGACGGCGGCAGGATCGAAATTGAGATCGGACGGTATCTCCGGCAGGGAGGAGGAGCCGTCCCCCCCTCCGCCTCCTGCGTTCTGCGCATCGGAGGTGGGAGGCGGCACGCTCGGGGGGCCCGTCCCGCCTCCGCCGCCCGTCCCTCCGCCGGGAGTCTGGGGGGTGTGAGGCGTGTGGGGGGTGTGCGGTGTATGCGGCATCTGGAATCGATTGAAAACGTCGATATTATTCTCGGGGATTTTTCAGAAAAAAATAGTTCTTTTTCTGTGACGGGAAAAAAGTTTGGCATTTCATCTCTGTTGGCAGGTTATAAAATGTCACTTTCCATAAATTATTTTTTTCCCGTGGGAAAAAAGTGAGTACTTCTTTCCCGGAAATATATCACATTTATATACAGTGTGTCCCACTTAGCATGCTCACCATGGGTATCTTTTAAACGGTGAGAGATACGAGGTCGGTTAAATGACACCAAATGTGGAGTTTGTCAGGGCCAACTATAATGTGAAAAAATATTTTGATAAAATCTATTAGTTTTTGTTTTATACGCAAAAAACAGATTTTGATCATTTTCATGTCTCCTCCGTAACTTCTTTATTTATGAAAATATTCAAATAGGAATTTCACAATTCTCATGGCAGTTTTTCAAAGTGATTTCGAAAAAAATATGAAATTTATACCAACTCTTCTAGAATTTGAGATATCAGCACCAACTTTAGTTTTTCAAATGTAGGTCAAAGCTCACTATGACTTAGTTACAAATAACTTTTTTTTCTCTTTCAGATGATATGTCGCAGTAATAGTTTTGTGTTGTTAACAACGGAGTTATCGTCATTTACACGAAAACAAAAAATTATTTGGAAGCCGCCATCTTGAATTTATGAATTTTATCAAAAAAATCATGATCTCCGACCTCAAAAACACCCACTTACCAATTTTGAACCGAATCGGACCAAATATTGTCCGCCATCTTGGAGCAGCCATTTTTTTTAATTTCAACAAAAATTCCATAACTCCGATTACCTTGAAAATTGGCAGGTGTTCATAATTTCGGTGACAATACATTATGGAATTTTTGTTGAAATTAAAAAAAATGGCTGCTCCAAGATGGCGGACAAGATTTGGTCCGATTCCATTCAAAATTGGTAAGTGGGTGTTTTTGAGGTCGGAGATCATGATTTTTTTGATAAAATTCATAAATTCAAGATGGCGGCTTCCAAATAATTTTTTGTTTTCGTGTAAATGACGATAACTCCGTTGTTAACAACACAAAACTATTACTGCGACACATAATCTGAAAGAGAAAAAAAAGTTATTTGTAACTAAGTCATAGTGAGCTATGACCTACATTTTAAAAACTAAAGTTGGTGCTGATATCTCAAATTCTAGAAGAGTTGGCATAAATTTCATATTATTTTCGAAATCACTTTGAAAAACTGCCATAAGAATGTGAAATTCCTATTTAAATATTTTCATAAATAAAGAAGTTACAGAGGAGACATGAAAATGATCAAAATCTGTTTTTTGCGTATAAAACAAAAACGAATAGATTTTATCAAAATATTTTTTCACATTATAGTTGGCCTTGACAAACTCCACATTTGGTGTCATTTAACCGACCTCGTATCTCTCACCGTTTAAAAGATACCCATGGTGAGCATGGTAAGTGGGACACCCTGTATACACTGTTGATGGCATTTGTTATGCCATAGTTCCGAAAAATGGGTCAATAATACCGTCTCCGAGAAAGAACTGCAAGTCCTTTCATCTTCCATTCGACTTCGTGGTTACGTATATTACTCAACAACCACTAAATTCGCAATTATTTGAATCAAATCACAGAACTAGACTGACAGAAGTGACATCAGATATTTGATTACTTCGAAAGAATGATAAAGATGCCTACAACGCAGGTGTCCCTACTGTTAAAAACTTGAAATTTCACGTCGATAATTTTCAGATTTTAAAATAATGTATTATCTTCCCAATATTGATTCGTCCTTCCTTCTGTCACAAAAAAAAACTTATTTATTATACAAGGGGAACAAGTAGTAGATTATAGCTCCAGACAAAACACCGTGAGCTAAAATCTAATATTTTTCCCGTCTTCTGTGACAGAAGAAAGGACGAATCAATGTTGGGAAGATATTACATTATTTTGAAATCTGAAAATTATCGACGTGAAACTTTAAGTTTTTAACAGTAGCTAGGGACACCTGCGTTGTAGGCATCTTTATCATTCTTTTGAAGTAATCAAATATCTGATGTCACTTCTGTCAGTCAGATTCTGTGATTTGATTACGAAAAATTGCGAATTTAGTGGTTGTTAAGTAATATACGTAACCGCGAAGTCGAATGGAAGATACAAGGACCTGCAGTTCTTTCTCGGATACAAAGGAAAAAAGTAATTTATGAAAAGTGACATTTTATAACCCGCCAACAGAGATGAAATGCCAAACTTTTTTTCCCGTCACAGAAAAAATAGTTATTTATTATACAAGGGAAAAAAGTAGTAGATTTTAGCTCCAGGTTGTGTCTCCCGACGCGTAGCGGATGGAGACAAAAGACCGCGAGCTAAAATCTAATATTTTTCCCGTGTATAATACACTATTTTTTTTGTGACAGATGAAAGGACGAATCAATATTGAGAAGATATTACATTATCTTGAAATCTGGAAATTATCGACGTGAAATTTTAAGTTTTTAACAGTAGGGACACCTGCGTTGTAGGCATCTTTATGATTCATGAGACAACAAACCGTGAGCTAAAATATTATATTTTTTGCCCGTGTATAATACACTATTTTTTTTGTGACAGATGAAAGGACGAATCAATATTGAGAAGATATTACATTATCTTGAAATTTGGAAATTATCGACGTGAAATTTTAAGTTTTTAACAGTAGGGACACCTGCGCTGTAGGCATCTTTATGATTCATGAGACAACAAACCGTGAGCTAAAATCTAATATTTTTCCCGTGTATAATACACTATTTTTTTCTGTGACAGAAGAAAGGACGAATCAATATTGAGAAGATATTCATCATTTTGAAATCTGAAAATTATCGACATGAAACTTTAAGTTTTAACAGTAGGGACACCGCGTTGTAGGCATCTTTATCATTCATTTGAAGTAATCAAATATCCGATGTCACTTCTGTCAGTCTAATTCTGTGATTTGATTTCAAAAAATTGCGAATTCAGTGGTTGTTTAGCAATATACGTGACCGCGAAGTCGAATGGAGGATAAAAGGACAGTTCTTTCTCGGAGACGGTATTATTGACTCATTTTTCGGAACTATAGCACAACAAAAGCCATCAACAGTGTATATATATGTGATTATATCCGGGAAAAAAGTACTCACTTTTTTCCCACAGGAAAAAAGTAATTTATGAAAAGTGACATTTTATAACCTGCCAACAAAGATGAAATGCCAAACTTTTTTTCCCGTCACAGAAAAAAATAATTTTTTACCAGAAGTTTTTTTTTCAAAATTTGTTGATTAAGGACAGTAAATAGAAAACTACTATGGCAGGGCTAAAAGGATTATCCTGCAATGTTCAGAGAACATCGTGAGAACCAAGGGAAATAAGGTAGCAGTTGGTGTTTTTCTTAAGTTTCGGGAGGTTATATGCCTATTATAAGCTGAATTTTCAATTGCGATTTTCTCGAAACTACGAGTTTTGAGATGTTACACTATTGAACTATAGTATCGATATGGTAATGAAAAAACAAGAAACAAAATAACAAACCCAGGTACACTCACCTGTTCGTTCAGACTCTTCTCCATCGCGTTCAACGGGTCCAACGAATTCACCGATTCGCTGAGATGGCTCAACGGCCCGCCGCCGCTCAGATAATCGTTCCCACCGCCGCTCCCCCCGCCGTACCCGCCCATGTCCCCGCCCACCGGCTGGTGCCTGGCGGGGCCGTAACCCGGCTGCGCCCCGCCGATCATCGACCCGCTCGCGATGCTGTTCATGTCCGGCGACATGTACGGGGACATCGCCTGCATGTCCCAATTGTTCATCGTCGGCAAGGTCATGCTGCCCGGCGACATGGCCTTGACGGTGCGTTTGCCGCCGCCGCCGCCGCAGGAATCGGTGCCTTCGTCTTCCATCTGTAACAGCGAGGAGTTTATGCCCTACTGAGTTATACGATGAATTTGAACAGAAAATATTGAATGAGAATTTCACACCAAACATTTTCGATCAATTTAAAGCCTATATTTCGTATCGTTACCATAGCAACTAAATATTCTTGGAAATTTTTTGACGTTTATAGGTTAAATGACATTTACATTCGACATCAGATTATTTCGAGTTCATTCTATAAGTGAATAAATAAAAATCATTTTCCGGCGACCTCGTATTAACGAGTAAGTTTAATGTTTATGAAATCGTTCATTAATGACCCCTATTAATGAACGATTTGTCTATTAATGCACGATTGTTTTATAGGCAACCAAACATACACCGCGTGCATTCATTGTTTATGCAATAACTTACGGAATCTGCATTTAAATCGAAAATATGGATTTCATCGAAGATTTTCCGTTAACGGGTTCGCCTTTCCAAGTTTCTAACACGATTTTGAGCCCTGTTTTCTAACACAAGGAATTTATTTTCTATGTTGATTATTTCGACAAATGTCAAATGTCACTAATGTCAGTAACAAGGCTACTGGGTGATTCTTAGTAGTTTCCGGATGAATGATGAATTCGTGAACCAAGTTTTCTTCATTGCAGGAGAAATGAGAAATATAGTCGACGGAAAAATTTTGTAACCAACTTGTATATTAAAAGGCGATTAATGATCTCGAACATTAACGCGCTCGCTTCGCTCACACGTTAAAATATCTCGATCATTAATCGCCCTCATTAATACACTAGTTGGTTAAATAACTATTACATTCGACTTCAGATTATTTCGAGTTCATTCAGTCAATAAACAAAAAACATTCATCAACAGTTTACCATATAATATTATGTAGGTATACTTGCAATATAATATTTCAGTGTGAAATTTTCTTACCGAATACCACTTCAGCTTCAATTAATATCCGGGATTTTTTTATCAAACACGAATATTTGAAAAATTCTCAAAATATTCGTGTTCTCGAAAAAAATTCCGGAAATAATTGAAGCTCTCGTGATATTATAAGTGAAAATAATTACCGCCTCTTAGAATATGAATTGAGAAAATACCAAATAAGTGAATAATGCTATAGTGAAGGAATTTCTAGATGGCTTAAAATGCAAGTCTACTATCTCTTTGATAAATTTTTTCAAGATTCCCTGTACCTTTCATCATTCTGATTCATTACTTATCATTATTGTGTTAGCTTCTAACCGTCAAATTCGTTATTTCATATTACTTTTCCAATATAGTGAAAAAATTATCGGAACTGAATGAATATTTTATCATTATTTCGTACATTTACTCGCTGGATCGAAAGTGACCGTTTGCTCCCTCTCATTCCAGGAAACAAAGCTATAAGTTTTCTCCCACGAGAGGAAACACAAGGTATGTGAATCTTCATGGATTTCTTCACAAACCGTAATAAAGACGATCGAAATCATTGCGGAATCAACTGAATTCTTGAGGAAAAAGTATCAGGAAAATTATATATGAGTATATGAATTGAAATACGAACTATTTCCCAATGACAAATCGATGATTTTGGCTTATTTCCTTTTATTGCCTTTTGCCAATGAATAAAACCAGCAGGAGCGATATTACTCGTCAATATTTTTTTAGTATCAGTGGAGGTATTTCTCACTGTTTCGAACATCTCCGATATTCATAATGACTTAGATATGTACCATATATAAGAAATGCCTGATGGAATAGATAGTTTACATAATTTCGCATCAAATAGGAACCAACTGAAACTGTATCTCTTCTATGGGTGAAACCAGCAGCAACAATATGGATAGTGAATATTTTTTTGTATTGGAGGAGGCATTACAGTTTCCCATTTGAGTTGAATGTTTGCCACATTTGTGTTATTCACTGATATTTGCCCGTCAAAATCGTTATTGATGTTTCATGAATTTTTTATATTTCCTGACATCGTATACAGGGTGTCCGGAAAGGTCATGTCGCAAATGATGGGGCAAGATATCGATTAAAATTAGGTATAGTTATTTTTGTAGAAGAAAGTTGAAGGAATCAAACGGTAGAAGGAAAATGCCAAAGTTGTCACCTTCGTCAGAAATGCCTTCAATAAACATAAAAAAATCGTCTCATCCTGTATAGAGCATAATCATTAAACAGACGTTCACACATCGAAAGGAGCATTAGTATGAGTTGATTTAGTTGCCCGAATAGCAAAGTTATACAAGAAATATTTTTTTATACAAAATTTCAAGGTCAATTACTCCGTAACGAAGTGCTATAATCATTTTCAAATGAAAAAATCAACATTATTTGGATCTCTCAATCATCCTTATCATTTACTACTACTAATAATCAATATTTTTTTGGTATCAGTGGAGATATTTCTCACTGTTTATAACATATCCGACATACAAATAATGTTTTATATAACAAATGCCCGATGATTTTTTTTTTTTTTTTTTTTTTATCGATTGGAGCGCACGAAAGGGAATCCCTATAATGTTCAAAGAACATCGTGCGTTCCTAAGGAGGATAGGGACAGGAGGTAGGTATTGGAATTTTTCTTGAATTTTTGGAGATTATATGTTGTTGGGAATACTTCCATAGGCAATGAATTCCAGAGCCTAGCCGTTCTATGGATGAAGGAGTCTTGATAAAGTGCTGTTCGACATCTTTCGAGGTTGACAACGAAAGGATGTGCTGACTGGGCTTGTCTAGTTCGTCTGATTGGTATTGCTAGTGAAGGGATGATTGCAGAGATTTCCGAAGAACATTTCCCGTGGAAGTATCGATAGAAAAGTGAAAGGTCGCCGACCTTTCTACGGTGTTCCAATGATGTCAAAGAGTGAGTGAGTGTGGCGTCACCCACCAGGCGAATGGCTCTTCTCTGGATGGAATCTAAGAGCATCAGCGTATGTTTTGGTGCTGAACCCCATATGTGGGAACAGTATTCTAGAACAGGCCGTATCTGCGCTTTGTAGATCATGAGAAGCTGTTGAGGTGTAAAGTAGCTTTTCGCACGGAACAAGAATCCGAGTTTTTGTGAAGCAGCTTTTGCGATGGATCTGACATGATTATCCCATGAAAGAGTGTTGCTGATGGAAATACCGAGCATAGATATGGTGGGCTTGGTGGGGATGGTGGAGCCAGACATAACAATATCGGGCATACTGAGTTCCGCCTTTCTAGAGAAAATGCAGGCTTGAGTTTTGGTGGCGTTGAATTCAACTAGGTTGTTCGTTCCCCAGGCTGTGATTTCAGCAAGATCTTCATTGACAGCATTGACCTGCCTGCGCCGTGAGTTCTTAGTTTCCTGGGAAGAAATGGGAATTCTGGAAGAGAACGCAGTATGGAGGGTACTATCATCTGCAAAGCTGTGGATGGGGCAAGTTGTTACTCCCAACAGATCATTGATATGAAGCAGGAATAATGTTGGTGCCAAAATTGATCCTTGTGGAACGCCGGAATTGATGCCAATGGTATCAGACGATACACCGTCCACCACCACGTGAAGCGATCTGCCTGAAAGAAAACTCGATAAGAGATGGCATAGCTGAGGTGGTAAGCCGTATGATGGTAGTTTGTGGAGGAGTCCTTCGTGCCAAACACGGTCGAATGCTTTCGATATGTCCAACGCGACAGCTAGAGATTCCCCGTGTTTTTCTATTGAAGATTGCCATAAATGGGTGACGTAGGCAAGTAGATCTCCAGTGGATCTTCGGTGGCGAAAGCCGTATTGTCTATCATTGATGATTCCTGAGCTCTCCAGATATTTGATAAGCTCAATATTGATGGCTTTCTCCATCACTTTGGAGATTACTGATAACAGGGCAATGGGCCTGTAGTTGTTGGGCAGGTTCTTGTTTCCTTTTTTGGGGATTGGTTGGACTCTAGCTGTAGATATTGATGGTTTGAAAAGACTCACATTATATAAAAGTGAACTCAACTCATCTCCTAAGCAATAGTAGTAATCGTTAATATATTTTGTATTGGTGGAGGTATTTCCCAATGTTCGCGATATCTCCGACATACATAATCCCTAATGATAATGAACTTCAATTTTCTGGAAAAGCTCTCTCCAATGAATAGAATCATCAGCAACAATAATAATCATCAATAAATATTATTCACAATTTTTTAATTAATGAACGAACTATTTCTCAATGGCGAATCCATGAAGTTGGTCTTGATGTTATCTTCATTCAACCTTATGTTGCTGATGATGTTGAAGAAATCCCGTAATGAAGATGTGAAAAAAATTTGAAATATTCGTATACTGGTTGATGAAGATGTTCACTCAATTAATAATCATTATCATCAATCTTTTTACCTTTATCGTTGGCCCGTTTCCTTTGGGTGCCTTCCAATTCGCCGAATTATCGATGGTGACTTCATCGACCTCCGACGAGCTCAGCGTATTCAGTATCCCCCACATGTACTGGTCCACTTCGAGGCCTTCTAATTGGGCAGGTTTACTAAAAAACAAAAAATACATTTGTATAAATAAAATACATCAAATTTTTTGCCTGTTTACTCACTTGCAAACAGGACACCTCCAAGCGCCTCGCTCGCAGTTCAGTTGCAGATACGACTCCAAATCGAAGCACTGTATGTGCTTGCACTCGTGCCCTCGCGCAGGCAACGTGATCCTCTTGAAGGTTATGGGGCACTTCAGGGACACCTTCAGAGCCGTCTGTTCCACCACGTCCCTACAAAACCGCATAAAATTCATTTTCGAATCTATCGAAAAACGAATGTGAAATTGACGTTTTCCACATCAAGACACCAAACAACACACCCTCCACGCATTTTCGAATTAATTTCGTCGATGTGGATAACTTTTTTAATGGTTTATTTTATTATTTTACCTGTCCCTTTCGATGTTGGGGCCGGAATTGGTGTTGCTGAAGTTCCTTTTGATTTTGGCTATGCAATGGTCGGCAGTCAGAAGCCGTTTCCTAAGTAGGCCTTGCAAAACAGACCTCACGCTCGGCCTATGTACAAGCTGGAGCACGAACAGATGGGACTGAAAATGATGAAACATTTTTAATGAACGAAAATCCTCATTATTTCAATTATTCAATTCATTCGGGAGTGATGAAAGATGAAAATAATGGAAAAATTTCAGAGATGACATAGATACTTACACAACAGCAAGCAGAAACCGTTATCTGTATGGTGTTCCTTCCCGGCTGACACACTTCTTTCAGATAGAGGGGTTTGTGCGACGTTTTGTTCTCGCCTCGGTCTATCATCAGAGGCGTTGCGTTGACCGATACCTGCACATAGGACGACGTCTATTACGATGGTGAATACACTGTACCAAACGTGGCGACTATTTGCCAACTGCCAATTTTGACAGGACCGGAAAAATTCAAGATAGAACTCTTCATTGATTTCAATTATCGGTTGGAAAAAGTTATTATGCAATTCCAATTCTGATGAAACAAAAATGTTCAAAAAGTTAGGAAATTGTTGGCGATTTCATTGTTTTTGTTGAAATATATTCTTTACAATCAAAGGGGTGGGTATGTACTTGTGAAATATTGAATGTCCGTTCTTAGAACTTGAATAGGTACCATATTCGTATCAAGATGACAGTTGGCAATAAATCAATGTCCCAGTTTTAGTACTAATTGTTTCTATAGTAATTTGCGGGGGTTCGAAAATATTTTAAAAATCGTATGAAAAAAAAATTTAATGTAGAAACATATTTTTTCGTGCGAGCATTTCGCTGTAACAGTTGTTGAACTCAACCATCACTATATGATGATATTCCTCGAATATGGCAATACTAAAAAAAAAATTGCGTTGCCTTTTCAAGATCAACATCATAAAAAATTCTTCAATAAATGCATCAGATATTGAAATCTTCGATTGTGAAATTCGAGTTTTCCACAGCAGAACACCCAACAATACTCCCTTTACGCATTTTCGAATACATTTCGTCAACGAATTCATCATACTATGGAATCTACCAATGTGAAATTGAAGTTTTCCACAACAGAACACCAAAACAACACTCCCTACATGCATCTCAATATCAATATTACTGTATCAATTTATCAAGAACGTATTATAATTTTCATTTTGTCTGCTGCTGTGTTAACATGTCCTATAACTTCTGTAAGTTCCAAAGGATCAATAAATTAATCATGTTTCTCACCACAGAACAAAAAATACTCCCAGCCGCATTTTCGAATAAATTTCGTCAACGAATTAATGATACCATGAAGTTTTTCAATCTCATCATTGATATTACTGAATTAATCAATATTATAACTATTATTTTGTTATGCAATTTTCGGTGCTGCTGTGTGACATTCCTCAAATATGATAATATCTGAATATCAAGACATTTTCGCAATTTGCATAATATAATGAAATTCGTCACCGAATGCTACATACCATGGAGTCGAGTGTGAAATTAAAGTTTTCCACATCAGAACACCAAAACAACACTCCACCCATTTACTATGAATGTACGACTCAAATAGTTATGTTCACTGCATGTATACAGGGTGGGCCACCAGTAACGCCTCGGTCTCTAGAAGGCTAACCACTTATCTTCTTGGAATTCTTCCTCTCTAGGAAGTTGCATGTCAACAAAGGCTACCATTTGAAATTATTTTGAAACATACAGGATGTCCCCAAAAATCACAAAACACTGAAGTTGAACTTTTTTCAATCGAACACCCTATATATCATTTCATTTTGAGATTCTCCCTGGTGAGCTGATTCCAACAATGCATCATACTTGGGGTCTAGCAGTTATAATTACTGAGATATAGGGTGTGAGAAATCGAGATTTTCCAAGTTCAAGAATTTTTTGTGTCGAAACTATTCATAATTGGTCAAAACGGCTCACATGTCCCTATATCAACTTTTGATCAACTATCTACTGACATTTAATTGAAACAAATACAGGGTGGTGCAGAATTCAGAATCTTGATCACCCGGTATATGTCCCAATTAAATATCAGTAGATAGTTAATCAAAAGTTGAGATAGGGACACGTAAGCCGTTTTGACCAATTATGAATAGTTTCGACACAAAAAATTCTTGAACTTGAAAAATCTCGATTTTTCACACCCTATATTTCAGTAATTATAACTGCTAGACCCCAAGTATGATGGGTCGTTGAAATCAGCTCATCAGGGAGAATCTCAAAATGAAATAATATATAGGGTGTTCGATAGAAAAAAGTTCAACTTCAGTGTTTTATGGTTTTTGGGGACACCCTGTATGTTTCGAAATAATTTTAAATGGTAGCCTATGTTGACATGCAACTTCCTAGAGAGGAAGAATTCCATGAAGATAAGTGGTTAGCCTTCTAGAGACCGAGACGTTACTGGTGGCCCACCCTGTATAACAAAATTGTGAAATTTGTATATTGCTACTTCAAAGTTGGGAACCAACTCCCCAGAAGTCGAAACTTGTGCGGAGTTAGGAAGAGCGGGACCTACAGCTTATAGTGGAATCCGAACCACTTCTAGGACATCGAGGTGCTATTCTCCTATGAATGAAATCAATTATCAATATAAAAATTATTATTTTCGAACCCCACACCTGACACACCCCCTTTGCTTCTCACCTGCACCGACGCCGGCCAATTCGTGTTCATCTGCCTGTCCTCATGGTGGAAGCACTTCAGCTGCAACTCCAAGTCCTGCCGCCACATCAGCGTCTGGTGCACGGTCGGCTTCAGCTGGAACACGTGATTGCTGACGGCGAGGTTATGTTCCAGGCGAAAGGGGGGCAAGATGATGCCATCCCGCACTGGGAAGGTCAGCCTGAGTTCGTCGTCTTCTGCAAGAAAAAAATCTCATGAGAACATTTTAATGGGCAAAGACACAAATGCGTGAATTCAATTTGAATGTGCATATAATTGAAATACAGTGTGTCCCACTTACCATGCTCACCATGGGTATCTTTTTAACGGTGAGGGATACGAGGTCGGTTAAATGACACCAAATGTGGAGTTTGTCAAGGCCAACTATAATGTGAAAAAATATTTTGATCGAATCTATTCGTTTTTGTTTTATGCGCAGAAAACAGATTTTGGTCATTTTCATGTCTCCTCCGTAACTTCTTTATTTATGAAAATATTCAAATAGGAATTTCACATTCTCATGGCATGGCAGTGAAATTTATACCAACTCTTCTAGAATTTGAGAAATCAGCACCAAGTTTGATTTCCAAATGTAGGTCAAAGCTCACTATGACCTAGTTACAAATAACTTTTTTTTCTTTTACAGATGATATGTCGCAGTAATAGTTTTGTGTTGGTAACAACGGAGTTATCGTCATTTATACAAAAACAAGAAATTATTAGGAAGCCGCCATCTTGAATTTATAAATTTTAATAGAAAAATCATGATCTCCGACCTCAAAAACCCCCACTCACCAATTTTGAATGGAATCGGACCAAATCTTGTCCGCCATCTTGGAACAGCCATTTTTTTTAATTTCAACAAAAATTCCATAATTAATTGTCACCGAAATTATGAACACCTGCCAAATTTCATAAAGACGTACATATTAGTGGAAAATGTACGTTTTAAAGACGTCTTAAAGACGTCTCTTGGGCGTAATATGTTCGTCTTAAAGACGTACATATTAGTGGAAAATGTACGTTTTAAAGACGTCTTAAAGACGTCTCTTGGGCGTAATATGTACGTCTTCAAGACGTAATATGTACGTCTTAAGACGTGCATATTAGTAGAAAATGTACGTTTTAAAGACGTCTTAAAGACGTCTCTTGGGCGTAATATGTACGTCTTCAAGACGTACATATTAGTGGAAAATGTACGTTTTAAAGACGTCTCAAAGACGTCTCTTGGGTGTAATATGTACGTCTTAAAGACGTACATATTAGTGGAAAATGTACGTTTTAAAGACGTCTTAAAGACGTCTCTTGGGCGTAATATGTACGTTTTTAAGACGTACTTATGTCCCGACATGTACGTCTTAAAGACGCCTTTAAGACGTACTTTGGCTGATTGGGATGTTATATCGAAACTCACTTTGCGTCGGTATGGGCGGCTTCAGTTCGTTGAAGTTCGGCTTGACATCGGGATTAGGACTGACGTAGGGCGGCACCCCGCTAGCCGGCGTCAGCGGCGGCGTCGGGTTGCCCGGTATCGGGCTGTGCTGGTAGCTCATCCCGTTGCGCATCGCCATGTCCTGCTGGAACTGCTGCGCCGATTGCTGCGCAGAATGCTGCGCGGGATGCTGCGCCGACGCAGCGCCGCCGTTGGCCGAGGAGGGGGGCGGATACTGGCCGCCCGAAGCGTTGCCGCCCGAGGCGTATTGGCCGCCCGCGGCCGTCGACTGGAACTGCTGCTGATTGGAGAAGTATTGCTGCTGCGCCGGCGATTGGCCGTGCGCGCCGTAAGGGGGCGTGGCTTGGCGCAGCTGGCGCGGGTTGCCCGCGGATACCATGCTGGTGGGGGGGAAGTTGCCCGTGGGACCTTGAATGGACGAGGGAAGTGATTAAGATACTCTAGACCTCTGCTCATACAGTGCGCATCATAAGTGTTACCCCCCCATATCTAACTCGTCACGGGACTCCTTCTTAGGTGTGACTCTTTATTATACTCAGGGTTGAAATAAGTCATGACTTTTATAAAAAAGTCAAAAAAGTTAGTTAATTTGGACTTTTTTGAATTGAGTAACTTCAAAAAAATAAAATTGTATTCTCGTTAAAAGGAAGACATGTCTTCCTTATTAGGTATTTACTATGTTTCCTGCAATAAACAGATGATGTTTCTAGAGAATAAGTTGATTAATTGATTGATGATTATTTTATAAATATATTACCTAGAGACTGTTGCGAAGGATACTGGGAGAAGCTCGGCTGCCTCGAACCGTAGCCGGGATACTGTCCTCCCGGATTGAAATTCGGACTCATACCCGGACTCATGCCCGGACTCATACCGGGACTCATGCCGGGACTCATACCCGGACTCATGTTGGGGTTCATGTTGGGATTCATGTTGGGGTTCATGGTGGGGCAGGGGTTGTGATAGCTCTGTTGGGTGGGTCGCTTCTGCGTCATCATGCCAGGCGAGGGATACGGAGTCATTCGTCTGGGGTACATCGCGTTAGGGTTAGGTCCTGGTCCTGCAAATGAACAAATTCGGTCTTAGTGACGTCCCTAATTGGTGATTTTTCGTCAGAGACGTCATACACTAATTTATGACGTCACTATGACGTACTTTCTATGACGTGAGAATCACGTCATCATCTCGACGTCGAGTGAACGTCACTTAGAAGGGTAACATAAGACGTCGGTTTCATGACGTGGCAGGGACGTCCTGTCGACGTCCATGTTTCCCAGACCATATCTAAACCATGTGTACTTACATTGTGGGACCGTTAGTTTTGTGACGTACCTATATATATATACAGGATGAGCATTTTCAGTGTCGAAACGTTTTCAGAAAACATCGTTTCTTCATTAATTTTACACACACATATATAGAAACTTGTACGTCTTGGTAATTTTATATATATGCTTCTAACGTCGATAGAAGTATAACTCATTAAAGCAAATCAACATGCAAGTTTAAACTTTGACACCCTGTATATCTTGGAAACCAATCAAGCTATTTATGTATATATAGAGATGATAATATAGGTGTACCAAATTGATCTTGAATCTGCCATTTTCATGAAAACATCCTGTAACTCAGTTGTAGACTAAAATCACTCATTCATATGCCAACTTCAGTATGACACTGAGGAGTGTCAACTACAACTTCCAAAGAAACATATTTTGCATTCTCATGTTGAGAACGGGAGCAGATTCGTTCCCGAAACGTCCAAAGATAAGTAAAGAGTCTATATTTTTTTCAATTTATCTATATATCTTTCCTTCAAACATTTTTTCAAACAAAGTGTCACTGACAAGCTACTGGATTTTTCTTTTATGCTCCCTGATAGAAAAATTTGTTAAACGCAGTGACATTTTGGGGCAAATCATCTGATTTGTCCTTACTACACGTATATTGAAATAATTTTTATAGAAACTAGGAGAGAAAATCCCAAAAAATCAAGTAAAATGAATGTACCACCTCCTCGATTAACCTACAGACAGTATTTAAAGAAAATCAGCCGCAGAAAAAGTTAGACCTCTTGGAAAAAATGGACTTACCAGCTCCTTGCATCCCCATTTTGGGCCCCACCATCTGCCCTCCCATCACTCCGTGCTGAATTCCCTGCATACTCTGCATGCTCATCCCATTTTGCATGCTCATCATCCGCTGCTGCTGCTGCTGATGGTGGTACTGCTGGTACTGCTGCTGCTGTTGCTGGTGGTGGTGGTGGCCAAATTGCGAGGTATCTTGCAGCGCCACGACGCTCGCCGTCGCGGTGGCAGTAGCGGTGGCGGCGGCGACCATTGCGGCGGTAGAGAGGGCGCTACTGTTGCCGTAACCGCCGTCGCCACCTCCGTTCATTACATTGCCCGGACCATAACCGCCCACTCTGGAAATCCAAACGAAAATAACGTATAAAGATCGATAGATACCAATAAAAACAGAAAGATACCGATAGAAACGCATATAACCAGATAAAAACAGGTAGAGGCAGATAAAAACAGTTTGGGAGAGATAAAAACAGGCAGAGTCAGATAAAAACAGGTAGAGTCAGATAAAAACAGGTGGAGACAGATGAAAACAGGTAGAGACAGATATAAACAGGTAGAGAGGGATAAAAACGAAAAGAGCGAGATTGAGACAGATAAGAGTAAAGTAGAATAAACATATACATAAAGACAGAATGGGATGAGATGTATAGGGAAAAATAAGGACATATAGTTACAGAAAGAGACGGACAGACCCATGGCAAATGAGGAAAATAACGTATAAACAGATAATTACTAATAGAAACGGATATAAACAGATAAAATCAGGTTGAGACAGATGAAAACAGATTGAGACAGATAAAATCGGGTAGAAACATACACATCAAGACAGAGATGGGTTGAGAATTATGGGGAAAGATATAAAGAGGAAGAAACAGATGGAAACGGGCAGACTCGTGACAAAAAATATATAAACAAATAGATAGAGATGAAGGGGACATTAATAGATAAAAACAGGTAGTGACAGATAAAAGTGAATAGCGGAATATTGAGGCAGATAGAGTCAGGTAGAAACGTATACATAAATGGGTGAGGGGATGGGAAGAATAGGGAAAAATAAGGACAGATTGAAACAGATAGAGACGGACAGCCCTAGGGCAACAAATATCTGATAGATACACATCGAGAAAGATTGAGATAGGTGATAGAATATTCGAGAAACAAATGATGATACATAAACAAACATGAACTGATATAAAAAGATACAGGTGGATACAGACACATAGAGGGTTGAATCACGTAATGACAGTTAGAGACAGACAGAGATACCTACATCAAATTATACTCGAAAATATATAATATTCGGAATATATTAGACATATTGAGACATATGGAGACTGGTAGAGATAGGTAGGCAGATAAGGATATATACAGACAGATAGAAAGTATGAGAATCAAACATAATATATAAATATACAAATACAGACAAAAATAGGAAGAAAGGTACGGTACATATAAAAGACATAAAGAGAATGATAGAAGAATGTAGATTTAGAGATAGACAGACAGGAAAAAATATGAATAATAATAATTTGGGATGGAAATACGCGCAAATATAAAATATGGTTTGTTATGCACTTATGCAGTCAAATTGATATTGACAATGAGCGCAGACTAAAAATAAAAGACAAAGCGAATGAAATGAACAAAATAATGACCTACAGACCAATAAATTAATTAACAATAATCGACTTTGTCCTGGAACGTAATTATGATTCCGATATTTATGCCGTTGCCATTTTTGCTATTGAAATTCCGTCTCTCATGCAGTGTATATACAGAGATTTTTGGAAAGCGTAAAAAAGCCCAAAGAATAAGGAAGAAAGGAAGGACTATACAATAAAATCCATCGAATTAAGATAAAAAGAAGGACGACGAGAGTCCCAAAAATCTTAGAAAAAGTGTAGCCATCACTCGATTATGTGTTCATTTCCGGTCTCAATCCGGCCCTGGACCGACGCGTATGTCGCTTTTGTGCAGCCCTCACGGAACCGACCCTAATTGGGAGTGTTTGGCCGAAATACCTGGGCTTTGGGGGAGAGAGGAATGATTGTCGCTCCGGTATTTAGAGTCAACATGCTTTTTCGACTCGGCAAATAACCGTTATTCATTGCCATGCCACCTATACAATAAGTACTAGGGACGGCTTCATGATAATTTGAAACCTGATCTGTTGATTTATGTGATGACTTCACACATTCTATTGCACTGTTTTTAATTTTTATATAAGTGTATACGTGATATCTTCAGTCATTTGCTCAAATTTCGAAAAGTATTAATAAGATTTTTTCCCAACAATAAGTAAGTAAGTAAGTAATCTTTATTGGCCATATAAAAATACAAAGTACAGATGGCAGGTCATAGATTCACAATCAAACTACATAGTAGTAGTTAGTATAGGTAAATTTATAAAAAATTGTGAGCTTAAACTAGGTACTATAGTAATTATACACATATGTAATGAAATTAAAAAATTAAAACATCGACAAATTACAACACTGGGATAAAAAACATTTACAAATCTCTGTAAGAAATGTATTCTTCAATGGAATAAAAACCGTTTTTTGTGAGGAAGTATTTTACCTTTGATTTACAAATGTTGTAGCTACCCAAGTTTCTTAGATTCTCTGGTAAAGCATTGAAAAGTGTTATGCAGTTGAAAATGGGAGATTTTTAAAGGTTGAAGTATTATATTTAGCCATATAGACATTCCATTGCATCTAGTATTGTATCTATGAAGACTGTTCGGCAGATGAAATTTTTCAGGATGTAGCTTTATGTAAGTTACACATTTTAAGATATAGATGCAAGTGAATGTAAGAATTTTCTTCTCCTGGAAAGTCTGCCTACAGCTTTCACGGAATTTCATATTAAACATAAGACGAATGATTCTTTTTTGAGCAATAAATACTCTGTGCCATCCTGAGGCGGAGCCCCAAGTAATGACGTTATATGCTAGGTGACTATATACAATACCTGTAACGATTTGTTTTTTTATGTTCTGGTTCCCACGAAAAGAAATATCCTGTAATGTTCAGAGAACATCGTGAGAAACAAGGAAAATAAGGTAGGAATTGGTGTTCATCTTAAATTTCTGGAGGTTATATGCCTCGGGGAACACCTCCCTTGGCAATGTGCTCCAGAGCCTCGCTGTTCGTTGGATGAACGAGTCTTTGGAAAGAGAAGTGCTGCAGGTCTCCAAAGTGACCACAAAGGGGTGCGAAGCCTCAACTCGGCGGGTTAATCTCGCGGGGAATGCCAAGGGAGGAACAATTGTTGATATTTCAGAAGAGCATCGTCCATGAAAATATCTATAAAATAGAGCCAGATCGCCAACTTTTCTACGATTTTCCAGAGAAGTGAGTGAGTTTGTGAGCGAGGCATCACCCACGAGACGAATTGCCTTTTTTTGGACAGAATCCAACAGTTTCAGGGTATGTTTGGGTGCTGCACTCCAAATATGGGAACAGTATTCCAGGACAGGTCGGATCTGTGCCTTATAGATCATAAGCAGCTGACTGGAAGTGAAATAGCTCCTGGCCCGAAACAGAAAACCAAGTTTTTGGGATGCACTTTCAGCAATTGATCTCACCAATATGAATGTCAATGTTAATACTTGAAATAAAGAGAAAAATTAGGCATATTTAGAAATTAATAGTTGTATCTATCCTTTTGTTGTTAATAAAAATTACAAGAATATCTACTTTCTGTTCTTAACTGACCGACAAAAGTAACTTCAACATAGGTGTCTTAAAATGACATTTTTAATGAATACATCTGGTGTAAAAAGGGTAACTTTTGAAAGTGTTTGTATAAAATAGTAGATTGTTTTATTAGGATCAAAAGTGACACTTTGTTTGACAAGCGAATTTTGCATTTGCGAGGCGGAGCGTTTAGCGAAGCCGAGCGAAAGCAAAATTTGCGAGTCGTACAAAGTCACTTTTGATCCGAATGAAACATGTTATTTTTTCTGCAACCGAAACAATTAACTCAAATAAATATGTGAAGTAACCACCAATGCCATATGTATGCAATGCAACAAATATTGACAAATAATCCATGTGGTAAGAATATTCTACCTGCATTAATAGCAGGTTAGGTTTTCAAGGATGTTCGAATTGTAGTTTCATTAATATGAATACAACCACAGAGGGACATAGGTATTTGCGTATGGACCAGGTGCTCTAATGGCAAATACCGCGCCAGTGCCAGCTATAGGAACAAGACGTGGAAAATGTTAGGTTATTGAGCATATCAACATTGATAATAGTTTAGTAGTATTATTTATTCCTCTCCATACTACACTGTGTTCGACTTGATAATCAAATGAAGCCAAACAATATCGTTGTTTGAGACAAAAAACTATTGCTTGCCGTGATTATTCAAAAACAAGTTATCCATCCCGAGAATAACGAATGAAATACAGATCAAGCAAGTATTTGAATCTTGAAGGCTTCCCTGATCAAACAAAAATACTTAGCTGAGATGATTATAATTCGAATACTAAACTATAATAAGGTGTAATCATATCTCCAGCATGAGTATGAAATTCCAAATCTGCTGAAATCGGAAACAAATCAGGTATGCGTCTCAACCCAAATAACCAACCGTCACAATGTTGTTTATTCTTGATGACGTCCAGTACATCCTTTTTAGTTCCTAGAAGCTAAAGTTCAATTTTAGATCCTAGGAACTAAAATTCAACTTAAGCTCCTAGGAACTAAATATGTTGCCTAACAACCTACCTATTTTTGTGTCAGTAATAGAAACGTCAATTTAAGAGCTAATTTTGGTATCAAAATGGAGGACTTTTGTGTCGGTTGCAGAAAAAATATATTCAAAGTAACTCGGTATATTATATGAATGTCAACCGTTTACCGAATCCATATCAATGGCAGTTATACCTCTATCAGATTCTCACATACAATATCACAATACAATAGGGCTAAATTTCTCATTGTTAGCAATCTGCTTCCGTCAACTGAAAAATCAAACCCTCGCCTCAATAATAATAAAAACATGAATGCATATAGTAACTTCAGTGGCGTACTATACGGAATGTCTCGAATAATCCACGGAATATTGTCACGATATGGTGATTTTGAATAATAAACAATAACTGACCTCTATCCTCTCTTTGTTTAATAATGTTATTACTATTCAAGGCTGCAATAATTAAGAAATGGCGAAGGTTCAGTTTTAGAAAATCTAAGTAATTATTTAAAATTATGGCGCATGGTCAAATTTATTTCAAATTATGGCGGATTATTATTTCAAAATATGGCGGATGCGCTAACATAGTAATTTGCGAGGTGATTTTATTAAAACAATAATGTTCAGT